CCAAAACCGGCATGTCCAAAAACCGTGGATCGGGGCCGTATGGTATCGATCACCGCCACCTTCCTCTCTTTCATGTTTCCTTTATCTTCGGCAAGCTTTCCGCCGCCCTGGGCCCCCGGTTCAACGCATCCACCCAGTGTATTCGTACATTACGGAGCACAGCATGACTGTCGCACTCGTCAAAATGAAAGTGATGCAAAAGTGAAGCTCCGGTATGCAGGTGCAAAGGATGGAGGGACCAGAATATCAGCGAGAATTCTTCTGGATGCGATTGGCGCCACGCTACGCGGCGCCGCGGCGGCGGCGGCGGCACGCGCTGGGGCCTGCTCGTACTTTGGATCGGCTACGATAGCCTCTTGGGAGTCTGGAGACTTGTGCTCAGTCAAGCCAGGCGTGGCAGGCCAGGCCGTCCTTTCCCCTGCAGGGACCCGTCCCTGGTGCAGCTCAAACGTAAACTCTCTTTTGTTGTCGCGTAGACGGTACGGATGATGCCGAATCCTTCGTAATGTTACTGTTAGTTCGGTTTACAATAATAGGACCGGGCTGGCCATAGTGTTGAGTGGCGTGATGGGCACACTTTAAGCTCCTGTTCTTGTGGAAAGTTTCGTATGTAAGCACCCGTCTTGCCATGATCCCTGGTGTCTCCATCTCCATCTCCATCTCCGCGGGTGACCGTTCCGGCGTTCACTTCGGCCTCCGAATAGACTGTGTCTGACAGTCTGGCTGGTTGACGACTTTGACATCCCATCATGCCGGGCACCGAAAGCGTTGTCTTGCTGGTCTCCATCAGACGGGCCGTTACCGCCGACTTGGCGTCTTCGATGTTCCGGCCGCTCGGGATCCATCTGAACCAATTGCTATGCCGTAAGACACTGACACGGATGGGGAAGGACTCTGAGTGAAAGGGTCTCCTCAGCTCTGTGCATTCGCTTGAGCTCCCAGAGGTCTGTGAGATATCATCATGACTGGTTCGCTCTCGGGTAGCCGTCGATCTTGACCCAGCGCTGTGTGGAAGCTTGTATTGACGTGACCCGGAGAAGTGCCTTGTTTGGTACTTTTGATGATCTTGCAATTGACATCGACATTACAACAATTGCGCTAAGGTAGCGTATGGTAAGGAGAAAAATTAACACGCAAGCACAAAACTGTGGAAGAGCCTAGATCATCCTGCGTGCCTGCGATATCCGATGCTCATCTCTTTGAGAAGGACCGATGAGAGGACCGAAGAGAGAAAGCGGCAATCCCGTACCCGACCCGATGTTACTGAGCAGCATTGCTGCCCATGGAAGATGGAGCTGCAAGAAATCGGGTCGGCAAGCAGACAGGTAGACAAGGCAGGCTCATTGGATAGCGCAGTTTCATCTAGGTACCTTACGGTTTACCTCTATCATCTATCATCTATACTACGGCAGTTTCCTCATCATGTGTCCCCCTCATCTCCTTTGGCCCTTCTCGATATTTGTCATGGCTGATTAATCCAAAGTCGAATGGATTTGTTGCAGATTATCCGTAAGGTGCCTTCCCGAGGCTTTCCATCCCGTCGGCACCTCCCTCCCTTGTCGCTACCACATCTGCTGTAAACTCAGCCACAAGTGCTGCAACCCAAGCCTTGGTCTGTGCACACAATGTGTGGCTGATGGATTTTTCTGACTCGACATCTTGCTCACCGACATCTCACCTTACTAAGGTAAGGTATCCGTACTCTGTACGGTTACAACTAGTCAACAACACTCTATTAACCTTTCATATCCCGGAAGGATGAGCTCGGATTCTGTCCCTATCGAGTTCTCTTCGCTCATGCCCCGAAATACCCTTTGAGATGGAAGGAGCGGCGTCTACAGAGTACAGAAGGCTTGTTGTCCTTGCCCCGGCAACCGATGCTTGAGCCATCGTACGCAGGGTGAGCAAGTATTCGTAAAATTGCACAATTTATTATACACTGTTTCTTATTGACTTGGTTTCAGCGTCTACCTTGCCTGGTCTGTTCTGTCCACTCGTATCCGTACAGTACCTAGATCTCTCGACGCAATATCTCAACTCCAAGCAAATCGGGCCGCATCCCAATTTCATCATCTCCGGGAATCTCAGCCCAAACCCCAATCGGCTGACCGGCAATCTCGGTCACAAGAAATGACAGCTCATGACAGTTCATGACAACAAGATGCTGCATATCAAGCACTTCGGGCAGGTCAAACTTCATAGGACGACGCACCTACCCCAACCCTCGGTCCATGGTACCCCGAAGTCGGGGTTACCCCATGCCTAATGTTCCCCCAACTTCAAGCAATGCGGCAGCTAGCACCACACGTCCTCGGGGATAGCTTGGCGATCTCGAGAAAAAAAACTCTTAGTTGCGCTCAGAGCTCAAAGTCCGGGCTACTCCTCAATTCCCAATCAACCGCTCTCCCGAAAGGAGCGAGGCAGGACTAGGTTGAATCTGAATTTCCACCCATCAAAGCTCGTCGTTTGCTAGCAGCTAAGCTTACTTGGATTGCGGGGAACGGGGTAGTGCCCTGCTTGCAATATGCGCCCGCCCCAGTCTTGACCGATTCACGTCGCCTCCCCCAGTCAATCACCAATTCACCACTCATCACTCCGCATACCCAGGGCAAAAAAAGAAGCAATACGAACCATGCGCTCCTCTTCCCCGCGGAACCCACGAACCACGAGGGGTAAGAATGAGGAGAAGAGCGGCACCGGCGTGCCGGTTGCGCGGCTCAATGCTTGTTCGGGATAGGCTCGAGTAAGGGTCTTGAATCGCCATTAAGGTCATTGGGCTTATTTAGTCTTCCCTCGGGGCCTGCTTGAGCGGTAGAAGAATGCAAGAAAAAGCGAACCTTGCGGACTCTTGTCGTCGTTGCTCTCGCTCTTGACGTGACGTCGAAGTTTTGTCTGCCAAGATGAGAAGCAGTCTTTTCGCCGCCGCCCTTGGAGGGTTGATTTCGAACGCCTTTGCGGCCCCGACACAGACCGAACCTTTCCTTAGGCAGGTCGATAACCAGACGTGGATCATTGGCAATGATGTGTGGAACATGACCCAAGGTCTCAAGTACGGCGTGAAGTTGTACTACAAGGACCGCGACCTCGTCGGAAACGCCGTCGGCCACTACGTAAGCTACAGTATGTGTATACCCTCATCTCGAGCCTTGGGAATTCTCAAACGTGGAACTGACGCTCATCTTTTCAGACGGCGCCGCAAACGACATCGCCTGGTCCTCCGCGACCATCGCCAAAAAGGGCACCCACGAAGGAACCCCCTTCATCGACGTCAAGTTTACCGCAAATGACGGCGACTTCCACTGGGTCATCTTCCAAGGCCTCGCCGGCGCCTACCAGTACTTTGTCAATCGCAACCTGCCCACCCTGGGCGAGTTTCGCACCCTCTGGCGCCTCGACAACAATACTTTTCCCAACGGAAAGACGGACCTCCACGATAAGCCGCTACCGAAGCTGGCTGACTACCTACCTGAGAATAAGGTCCAGGACGAGACCTGGCGCACGCCTGACGGCACGGGGTATATCACAAAGTACGACTTTTCTGACTTCATCCGCACGCAAAAGTATTACGGCGTGTATGGCGATGAGGTTGGGAGCTGGTATATCAATGCTGGCAAGGATTACTACAATGGCAACCACTTGAAGCAGGAGCTCATGGTATGTGTTTGGTCTGTAACCGCAACTCCAAGACGTCATGCTGACACCCCCTAGGTCCACCGTGAGAGTGCCACCGGCGATGCCGTCCAACTCAACATGGTCCACGGCACACACTTCCAAGTTTCCGCCGTCGACGTCTTCCCCGTCGGCAAGATGTGGGGTCCCTGGCTCTGGTACCTCGTACGTGAATCCCCCTTTTCCTCTACAATAAGCTCGATCAAAACTAACCACCACCACCTCCCCAGAACGACGGCTCCAAATCCGACGCAGACACTCGCGCCGCCTCCGAATTCGCCTCCTGGCCCTACCCCTGGCTCGACGACGAAGCCTACCAATCCCGCGGCACCGTCAAAGGCAAACTCCTTCTCTCCGACGGCCGTCCCGCCGCCGGCGCCGCCGTCTTCCTCGGCGACAACCACCCCAACAAGACGGCCCTCGACATGGGCTCAGATTACTACTACACAACCTACGCCGACGCCTCAGGCGCCTTTGAGATCCCCCACGTCCGCACTACGGCAGCAGGCTACGCCCTCCAAGCCTGGTCCGCCGGCGCCGCCCTCGCCGACGTGACGACGCACATCCTCTTCAACGACGTCCACGTCACCGAGTCAGGAAAGACGACGGACCTCGGAACCCTCAACTGGGCCGTCTCGAAGCGCACCAAGCTCTTCCAGGTCGGCGACTTCGATCGCACATCCCTCGGCTTCGCGCACGGAGGAGATCCGTACTTTGGCCACGCCATCATCGCTTCCTGCCCCGAAAACATCGTCTTCCGCGCCGCTACCACCGGCGGCAACAGCACCTGCTCCGCAAGCAAGACTTCAGACTGGTGCTACGGCCAGACGTACAAGGGGAACTACACAATCTCCTTCCGCATCCCTACCCTGCCCGACCCTGCCCCTACGTCCGCGAACCTCATCGTCTCGTTGGCGGGCTACTCCACGGGCGCAAGCAGCGTCGTCCTCGCCAACGGGCAGCCAGTAGGAAACCTCACCAGCGGCGCCGTGGGAGTCGACTCCACCTCGGGACTGCTCAACGACCCGTCCGTGTACCGCAGCGCCACCGCGGCGGGTGAGTGGCGCCTGTTTGAGTTCCCCGTCCCCGGTGCGCTGTTGAAGCAGGGGGAGAACGAGGTGACTTTCCAGCTTACGCGCAACACGACGTGGAGGGGGTTCATTTGGGATAGCATTGTTCTGGAATGGTAAAAGGTACCCAGCCTCTTTCTTTGTTGGCAGCGGCAATGGGGGTGGAAGAGAAAAGTGGGCATGATTTTCTGTGTATATAGTTGAAATATCCGTACATTTGATCAAAGAAAAATATAATGGGATAGCATGCATGCCATATTCCCTGAAAAGAATCCAAGCATCAAGGCATCGGTTTCGGAAAGAGCAGTAGTAAAAAGTGAAGCAAAAACCATAGTGGGGCATATTTGCCGATTCAACGGCGTTCGTGTTCCAATCAAACATCTAACGGTAAAATACTCCATCATACAATTTACACGCAAGGCAAGCCTGAACCTGCCTTTTCCCCTTTTACGCCTTGTCAAACACCAATAGCTTCCAACACCCCCGGACAAGTAGTATACCTCGACAAACCCACTCTAGCAAACGCGAACTAGGCATCGGCTGCAGGTACAACGGCATCAGTCGAGCTCTCCTCCGCCTTCTTCTCTGGCTCCTCCTCAGGGGCGGTCTCCGTAGGGACCGTCTCCGTGGGTGCGACAGCTTCCTCAGCCGGTGCCGGTTGCGCAGCCGCGGAAGCAGCTACTGCAGGAACCGCCTCTGCCTCTGGAACTTCGGGAACCTCCGGGACCAGAGCACTCTCAATAGCCACCGCCTCTGTTGGCTCTCCTGCGGGCTTCTCAGGCTCAATGGGGGGAACCTCAGGCAACGGCACCGGGTTGGCAATCTCGGGAAGCTCCGCTGGCTCCGGGTGCGGGGCCGCAGGCGGTTCGGGGAGTGGGGACTTGCTAATCTCGGCTTGGCGATCCAGCTCCGTCTCCAAACCGGCGAGCAGATCAGGGCCGTCATCTTCTGGCACCATGGGAACTTCGGCAGGCGCTGGCGGGACCGACTCCGGTTCGGCGGTGGGGATCTCGACGGCTGGAACTTCGACTGGTGCCTCAAGGGGTTTCTCTGCAGGAATCTTGACGGGTGCTTCCTCCATTGCAATGTCCGCAGAGGCCTCGACTGGAATCTCAACCGGAATCTCCGCCAACGGTGCTACGGAAGGCTCGATTGGAGGCTCGATGGGTGCTGGCGGCGGAAAGGCGGCTGGCTCCTCGGCGACTGCTTCGACGGGTACTTCAATTGGAATCTCCGGTGGGATGTCGGCAGGTTCCACAATAGGAGGCTCCAAAGGAGCTGGGGGTTCCAACGCGGGAGCGGGTGATTTGACTGATGACTCCGCTGCCGGAATCGCAGGCGATCTCAATGGCGATTTGATCGGAGACTTTACCGGTGACGCGACGGCTTCTGTGGGTTGCTCAGGCATTGGGGGCGCAAGTGGCATCTCCTCAACCACAGGTGCCGCAGGCTCAACCTCAGTAACCGGAACGGAAGTTTCAGCGCTAGCTGGCGGAACCAGGGGACTGTCTTCCTTCTTCTCCGATATGTCCTCCATAGCGAGGGGTGCTGGCTCCTCTGCAGGAGGTTGCGGTGCCTCCGAGGTTGAAAGAGCTTCAGAAAGGCCCGGAATCTCAGGGGCCTTGGGAGCATCGGGGACCGGAGAGGGCTGACGTTCCTCGGGAGCGTCTAGCATCATCGAGTCTTGTGCAGCATCGTTCGAGGCCACGGTTTGATCGCCGCTTTCTAACCTGGTACCCGAAGCATCGGTCTCTGCAGTCGTCGCCAACGAAAAGGTTGATCTTGTCTCGGCCATGGGGGAGACGATGTCGCCCACCTTTTCGGCAGGCGGGAGTGCTGTCGATGCATCGTGAAGTTCCGCTGAAGTCTCGGCAGGAGGTAGCTGATCAGGCAGAAGCGAATCCAACGAGTCATTGGGCGGCTGAGGTGAGGGCTCCTTCGTGGGCTCAGGTCCCTCTCCCATGGGCTTGTCAGCCTGCACAGGCTCGCTCTTTGGCTCCACTGGGGGCACTAATGCTTCCGAAATGGATGAAAACTGGGCTGGTGGTTCCGTGGGGGATGGCAAGACCACATTCTTGAGAGGGCTGCCCTTGGGTGAGGAGTTTGCCAGGTGCATGTTGGGAGGCGCGAGGTTGATGGAATTTGCCATTGGCGCAGCGCGCTTTGGTACGGGTGATTCGGGGTCGGTCAGTTCCGCTGTTGTGTCGACAGTCGGTGTGGGCACAGATGGAGAAGCGTCGGTCATCTCCTGATCTTGACTATCCGTGTTCTCGCCGTCGCGCTGCTCCTCGTCGCCGTCATCGCCATCATCACCATCGTCGTCGTCGCCCTCGTCGTCGTCATTGTCAGCCATTTCGCTATCGGGGTTGTTCGAGTCCTCCCGCTCTTGCTTGACAGCCTAAAAGCCAATCAGTCACATGCTCTCAGTAAAGGGAATCTGGTAAACTTACAGGGTCTGCTCCATCCGCTCCCTCGACTTTGGGAGCTGCAGGAGCACCTTCCACTGGAGGCGCAGCAACCGGTGCGGGCAAAGGCAAGATCTTCTTCTTGCGGCCGCGTCCTGGACCAGGCTTGTTCTTCTTCTTAGGCGGTGGTGGTCGCCGGACGCGCTGCGGCGCTTGCTGCGCGGGATCGACGGCCGCGACGGCCACGACCGTCGTCGAAATGATCTCGCCCTCGACCGCCTGGCCCTCCTGTAGCGTAATCTCCTGCGTATACGGGTTTCCTGCGGCATCGACTCGTCGCACAGTAGCCTTGGTCACCGTCGCGCCGGGAACCTGGCTCGAGACCGTCTTGGACGAGATGGTGACGGTACCCTTCCTGCGCTTCGCCAGGTGCGAGACTGGGGACCCCTCCGAGTTGCGATTGATCTGCTTCCACACCTTGATCTGGAAGCCCTTTGTCTCCGTCTCGTCCTCCTTCTTCTCCGGCTTATCGGGGACGGCGTCGGCGTCGGCCTCTTCCTCCTCGGTCGGCGCGGGCCTCTTGTAGAGGACGCCCGATCGCGCGGCGCGGAGGAGGTCTTGGCTGTGCTGGGGCAGGAGACCCGCGTCCTTGGGCATGCCCCAGGGGAGTTCGACGTCCCAGATATCGTTCTTCTGCGTCGTCTCGGCGGGCACTGGGGGCTCGACGCTCACCCATTCCTGGCGCCATTGGCGCACGGGAAGACCTTCAAAGTCATCGTGTTCGGTGTATCCGCTACGGTTCGCGCGTCGAGTCTACCGAGGTCATTTTGGTTAGACTTGCTTGCCACTAGTCGCAAGGCGAAATCGATTTGAATCCAAATGTTCACTTGAGAGAACTTACTCCTGGCGCCATTGTGAAAACGTGAATCCGAAGCAACGGACGCGGTCACAGTATCCAAGAGGGGTTCGAAGCTGGTCCAATTCAAGTTGATGCAGGGTCGCGCGCGCAGCGACGAAGGTCTGGTCGATCCGCGACAATTGTCCCACAAACTCTGGGCTCGAAATAACAATGACCTCGAGGGCGCAGACTAACAGCTATGAAGGGAATGCAGTGTGCACCTCAAGTTGCAAATAATTGATGCGACGTGCGCGGACGCTATGTTGTTTCGCTGATGATTGAGCTACTGTCGCTGTAGACTGCCATGGATTGGCTCCACCCAGAGACGCAGCCTCGTCGCGAACTCTAAAGGTGGCAAGCGCGAGGACAGAAGTGCTTAGTCAGCTGCACGGAGTACACCGAGAGTTGGTCGGTGACGCCTCGGTGTGGACTTCAACAAGAACCTGTACCATAAGTAATCAAGAAAACAATAGCAATAATTTCTTTCAGCTTGCTTCTTCGATATATTCATCTCACCTTTCAAAGCTACTTCAAACGACATCTTTGTATGGTGAGTGGAGCGTGGTCTGTCAATTCCTATCAAAGTATACTCCCGCAGCCGTTTGCGAAGCTAGGGAGAACCCGACCTCGATAGCACTCGAAGAGGAGTCGAATGGCCGGCTTACTTGGTTGACAGTAATCGCAAACTCCTGATGAGGTCGCTCTCATCATTCGTACATAACAAAGAGCACCCTGGCTATCTCGCAATCCACAGTCCCGCAAGAGCAGAAGGCACCAGTCATAGAAACGCCATTGCCATGTCTATATGCTCCAAAAAGCCCTTGTTGGAGGTTTAAAAACAGAAGAAGACAACACTCCAGAGAGGAGTGCTTTTCATTTAGGGAGTAATTGCCGCCGCGCCGGGTCCCTCCCCCTTTCTTTCATAAAAGTTGAGAGAATATTCTTGACTCCTCCTCGCCCCCTTTTGATGGTCATACACCCCGAGCCCTCCGCCGGTTGTTTTCTTGTCTTCCGACTCCCCGTTTGAGTATATAATACAGAAATAGATCCCGAGCCGTGGTTTCGTTGAGCTCGCGACGTTATTAAATTGGGCTCCCGCTCCACACTCTTAGGAGTTAGGCTGTTTAGTCGAAGCTGTAGGGCATGGAAAAGTCAGCTTCTCATCATCCTAGCTATTATTGTCCACTGCGATGTAGAGGAGGAACTCACCCATGCTCCGTTTGTCTGACAATACCGCCCTTGTTGCCCTTTTGCTTGCCAGCGGCGCCGCCCTCAACCACTAACCGATCAAATTGGAAGAACTGGTTGACGACTGTTTGCCTCTGTTGCCATAGTGTTAGCCCCCAATACTTTGTTCTCTGTTACCTCCGGGCGCTCCCGTCTCCCTACTCCCCATCCCCAGTCGTCGCGCAAAGAAGGCTTTCTCGACAGGAACTACAGGGTGGCCTTCGTGGAGTGTCGAGTGTCGGAGAGCGAAAAGCCCGAAGAACAGAGTCGACTAACCTTGAGCTTCTCAAGCTCCTTAATTCCCTTCTGAATCAACTCCTGCACCTGCCGCGGATCCTCGACTCTTTGGTGCTCCCTGAAGGCATCCCTCGTCCGCCGCTTCGCGTACTCGCGAAAGTTGTACGCCGCAAACTGGTCGCCCGTCTTCAAAAGCTGGCGGTACTAGAGATTTTCGCAAGAAATGATGTTAGCAAAAGCTCTTCTTCTAGGCGCTTCGGGAAGGAAAAAAAAGGCTTGGCGGTTGGATATTTAGTTCGAGATGGATAACAGAAACAACAGCATGCATGCAATCGGAAGGGATCGTGGGAGCATATGTCCCGTCGTTTCTACGTACCAAAGACCGAGCCTGCTGCGGCGCATCGCCCTTGAGAGCTTGTATCGCCGTCGCCATCGTGATTGCGCTTTTCGTGTAAATGCGTGCGTTACCCGGCAAGGAGAAAAACAGAGCCTATTGGGTTGGCTTTGAGATATTCGTGGATGTTTCTGCGGGGGGGGGGGGTGCCGTCGTGAGGTGCGGTTGCGAAAAAGATAGCACTCGGCAGTGGAAAGGCGCAGATGGGAATTATTTCTCGAGGTTTCGGGGCAGACAACGGACCTATGATGCAAACGCGGTTTCTCTCCTCCCGCTCGGCGTTTAGCTTAGCGGCCCTTTCGGGGCGCGGCATTTTACTAATCCGCCCACCCCCAATGTGCCGGATGGCCGATCTCGCCTCGTACCTCTGGTTTTTGTCAACCGCCAAAGTGGGCGTAGACGCAACGTCTGCAATTAATCACCACTTACTCTAGTGTATCCATCCATAACAAAGCACCTCATGATCAATCTGAAGGTTACCGTTACAGAATGAATTCAAATCTGGCTATTCGTAGTGTATCCCATTTTGCACTAAGACAGGACCTTCACCGCAGACACTTAAAACGCCCTTTGCAGATATCGTTGTAAAGTACCTCTATTAATGCTTATAATCTACAATGCCTTACCCCCTCATTCCTGGTATCCTGACCCTGCAGCTGACCAGTTCTACACTGCGCGGCCACAAAAAGGGGGTTGGGCAAGAAAGGAATGTCCCGCGTCTTTAATATATGCCTCTTAATGAGCACTATATATGTGACATTGTGTGTGTGTGGTGTGTATGTTCTTTGCGACGCCAGACGCCACTACTATGGCGCGGCCATTATTTTGCAATTAGGGTAGGCTCATGAATAGCTTCTCCATCTCAGGATAATTAGGTGTTCTAGGATGCGTTGTAAGTCTTTGCTCTACAGAGTCTCAATCAGAGAAGGAAGTGCTTTGCTTACCCCATGCCGGTGACGGGATCCCATCCTGCCACGGCAGAGAAGCCCTTGGTACCGCAACCTGGGTTGTCGCCATTGGTCACATCGTTGAGAATCTCAGGGTGGGCGTAGAGCGTCGGGTTGATAAAGCCGACGGGCTTCTTGCCCGCCTCAATACGCTTCTCGTTAATCATGTTGACGATTGATCCCACAACAGGCGCCGATGCTGCGAATGTGTTAGTTCTTACCGACCAGACGTTGGATTCAATAGTTAAACAACTCACCTGAGGTGCCGAAAGAGAGCGAGAACTTGCCATTGACGGCAGTGACATAGTTGGCGCCATTGGCAGCAATGTCCGGGAAACCTCGTACCGTCTTGGAGTTGTTGTACCGATCTGCGCCATACGGCGGCGCGTTCTTAGCGTAGTACTGCTCCATCATTTTCTTTTGGTAGTCGGGAATCGCAAAGACGTTGGAGAAACCTCCGCCAGAGAAGATAGCCTTTTGGCAAGCGCTCTCAGGGGTGTGGACTGTCGATCCCTCCAAAATCTGAGTAGCACCTACGGAGGTGACCCAAGGGCAGCCGCCAGGGAAAGAAGGATTGAAGATACCCTGCTGGCCCTCATTGTACGCACCAGTCTGGGTGTCGATGCACTGCTTGCCGTTACCAGCAACACCGGAGTCACCGGAAGAGTAGAGTACTGTGACGCCAGCCAGGCCGAGCTTCATATACTCGGCACACTGACGCTCGACGTACTTTTTGCCGAGATCTGCCTCGTTGAAGCCGTAACTTGTGGAGATGACGTTAACCATAGGGACGGAGCCGCAGACCTTTTGGCTGTATTGTCCGTCAATGTTGGGGTCCTTGGAACCGCCTCCTTGGAAGGTGCAGTAGCTGCCGTCAATGGCATCGAGGAAGTTGTTGAAGCTGGCACCCTGGTTGAGGTCACCGACTTGGTACAGAGTTGTCGTTTGAGGGTGAATCATGGCCATGGCGAACTCAAGATCGAGCGCAGACTCGCCATTGAAGCGGAAGCTCTGGTTTGTAGTCTGTACCACGGCGTTTCCGACGAGGCTGACGATTGGGCCCTGACCCTTCGCACGAGGCTCAAACTCGTTGAAGTACATGTCCAGATCCGACTGGAGGAAAGCTTGCGGCGTGTACTCGACGATGCCGAGGGTGTTGTTGGACGACTTTAGCGATCCGGGAGGGGTTGCGTAGAGCGCCCGCAGGCAGTCCGGAGTGATCATGGAGTCGCACTGGTTGAGATCCATGAGGGCGTTCATGACAACCGCGCCTTGCTTAGGTCCGAAGCCGCTGTCCGGGCTGCCCTGAATGGCCGGGTTCTTGCCGCCAGTAGCAACATCTCGCTTGGCGAGCTCACGCTTCCTGAGTTGCCGCTTCTTGAGCTCTTCGATGTGGTGCTCTTCCAGATCATGCTTGGTGTTCTTCCTTTGTTCTCCGATGCGTTGATCAAAGTGGACCGTCGGCGTGATCATGTCGATATGCTCAACCAAATGCTCCGGAACGTGGTACTTGTCGCAAGCCACGTGCTTGTGACCTTGTTCGTGCTTGTACATGTGGTACTCGGTCTTCAAGAGCCGCTCTATCTCGCCTACTGTCCCGTTGAACTGGATCCAGCTGCGACCTCTTGTGAGCTCGACACGACTCCGGTGGATGCCCTCGCTCTCAAGCCACTGCATGACCAGAGCAATGGACTCTTGCTTCGGTGCAAACATTTCGGCAATTTCATCATGGGTCCAATGTTTGCCGTAGTTGGGCGAGTCGGGGTGTGCCACATCGTTCATGAACTCGTTTGCGCGGTGAAGGTTTGACTGAGCAAGACCAATCCGTACTGGCAGCCTGGCCATAGTGTGTAGTTTGTGGTTCTTGACCCATTCTCTGCGCGCGGGATGCCTCTCCTCGTGCACGACGTGGCTGTGCGACCGTGTCACCGGGTTTGCAATGGTCACCGCCGCAAGGGCGGTGAAGAGGGTGGCTACAGCGCTCAGCTTCATCGTGTATCTTCGGGCCGTTTTCGTCGTCAAACGTCTTCCTCTCTACTCTCTCACTTCACACAACGAGTCGAACCTAAGTCAGAAGAACCGAGCGACAAGGCTGGCTATTTGTTGATATTTTAGTAGCTGTCGTCCAGTCATGACGAACCCCACTGACGCAAGGTAGCAGCTCCAGACCTGACGAATGCGAAACCGGTTTCAATGGGATCCTGTGGGCTGTTTGTCTGGTGGTGACAACCCAAAACGAACACTTGGGTGAACGGCAGCCTGAGCGCATGGGATCCTGTGGCAAAGATGGGAACACCTCTGACAAGTGCAGTTTCTTACCCCCCCGGACCCCGGTTCGAGGAATCTCTTCGCGGCTCGCCAGGCTGGCCTCATATCGGGAAGTCGTGTGAAAGATTGATCAACAACAGGCCGATAGCCGAAGGTTAAGCTTTGAGGCGCGAGGTACCCCCAAACAATCGTCTCATATAGGTCCGGACCACCCCAGCAGGACGGGTTCTAGGCGTTTGCTAAACAAAGATGATTCGCGGCCGATTCGTGCTGGTCATGCGAGACGAATCATCAAGCTTTCACGGATTCTTCTGCTCAAGATGGATTTGGTTCCGATGCAATTCCTCAAATGACTCGAGAGGCGAAGACAAGGAGAATTGAATGAGAGTAAAAAAAGTTTGGATAAGGTCAATTGAAGGCTCGAGCCGCCGTCTGGTTTTGGGTGAAGGAAAGATGAAACGCTCTCAGGTATGAGATGATTTGGCTTCTTGGTACGGCTGCATAGTCAGCTTGTATAGCGCCCGTTGCTCGTTGATAATATCCCACAACTCTTCAGTCTCTTGCTGAGCCTCATCATCCGTGGCACATTGTTGTGCATGAGACTCCTGGAACGAAAGAATGGCGGCCTCAAGCGCATCATCAGGCAAGCCAAAGCCATTGAGCATCTTGCCGAATCTCGTCTCTTGTTCGAGACTTGTGTTTAGTTGAGATGTGAAGGTGAATTGCCGCTCGGTCTGAGTGGGCTTGACAACTGCAACAGCTTTTGTGGGTCGAGGTGTTTGCAGCAACGGCGGAAACACCAAGTTCGTCACAGAGGCGTTGAGGTCTGTCAACTCTGTGGGGTGACCGTTTTCGGCCAGCTGCCATTGCAAGATTTTGCCTTTTACATGACCGGATAAGATTGTTGTGCCATCATGGTTTGGCGCCAAGCACAAAGCCGAGCCAGCATCTTCATCAGCAACTCCAATCGGTGAATTGACTTGAACGACAGTCGACGATGATTCAGTGCTATTCGGACCAATGAGCGGCTTCTCACCGAAGAGCTCTACGAGGTAGAGAGCCCTGTCCTCAGATGAAACGAAGACGGCACGACCACAGGGATCCATGGAAACGCACAGCGGAGCCGTGGGGAACAACAGTGTACGCAGAACATCGCCCGTTTGATAGTTCCAGATGATGCAGGTCTTGTCTTTGCTGGAGGAGACGCAGATGTTGGTTTCCGGGTTGACACTACCACTGACAGCGATCGATGTGATGGCGGCCCTGTGGTTGGAGAGCGTACGGTCCGGCTCGCCCTCCACTGAGGCATCCAGCTCTAGCAGACGGGAGATTGTCCAAACGTGAATGTTAGAGTCTTCAGAGCCTGTGAGGATGTGATAGGGCGTGACAGCCAGACACGAAACGGCTTGGACGTGGCAAGGTGGTGTGATCAGCTGGCGACCAGTGCATGTCTGTTGTTTCGTTAGCCACAACAAGACGTTTGGAATTGCATCCGGGAACAGGAAATGTTTACCTCCCACAAGATTAGCCTGCCCTCGGAGGTGCCTAACGCCAAGACATCGTCAATCAACGCCAAGCTCCGAATCCGTTCTGGAAAGGTAACGACTGTTTCTTGGATGCCCCGCGATCTCGAGTATACGTGGACCTGGGACTTTTCGTGCTGGGCGGCAAAGACATGCGAGTCACTGACAGCTAAGCAGTGGGCTGGTGTAGCACTTCTTTTGAGAGTTGACTTGACGGTGTAGCTGGGGCTAAGAGTATGGGCGTAGATGCCGATATCTTTGGATACGGCCGTGTTTGCCGCAATAGGCGGGCCGCAAATACAAGAGTAGAATTCTTCCGATAACATGGTGGAGGGGTGAGTGACAGAGAGGCGGTACCCGGAAAGGGTGGTAAAGGCCGAATAGGCCACGGGCTCGTCGGAATCCGAGACTGCAGAGATTATCCGAGAGCGGCTCTGACTCCGGATGCTCGGGTGCGAGAACGCAAGGGGTGAAGGAGACCAGGCGAGTCGACGGCAGGGTTCGAGAATAGAAGCCGACGATGCCTAGAGCCACGAGGTGAACAAGACTCTATCCTCGTGCTCGGGAAGTGAATCAGTGCCACGAGGTTGCGAGATGGGCGTGGCGTCGATCTGTCGAGGCAAAGTAGGTAGGGTATCGAGTCTTGGAAACCACGTTGAAGAGCTCGATACTGGACTCAGATCTCTCCAGGTTTCCAAAGTACGAACACGAGAGGCAGAGCAAGAGCTAGGGCGGGAGCGAGAGCACAGGACCAATGGCTGGCGTTAGCACCAAGCAATGTTTCCTTCTTCGAGTCGTCTATGACACACTGGTGTGCTTGTGGCGTTGAGACTGGAAAAGCCAAGAATAAGGCTTGGAAAGGTTTGATAGTGAGGTTGAAGGTGAGGTGTGATGAGGCTGAAGACCCGGCTGCATGTCACATTGAGAAGGACGATGAAAAAATTCGAATCCACTTTTCCCGAGGTACGTTATCGATAGTGATCGAGAGACGGCCCCACCACGGAAGCGGCCCCCTGGGTTCAGGTCGCCAAGGGCCTATTGGCAGTCATGCAGTGCAGTTGATAATGCGAATAGGGCAGCTAGAAAACGCGCTAACAGCCGATGGCCGCCAGACGTTGTCTCGCGCAGGCGCCACGGAGGGGTTTGACCTGTAGCTTGCCTATAATTCAGCCACTAATTCGCCCTTACAGCAGAGAAGGAGCTCTTAGAGCGCTCAATCTTCTCCCTAGAAACACTAACAACGGTCTCCACGCGGTCTGGCTTATAGGAGGGAAGGAGCGCACGGGGCAGCGGCTTCAACTTGGCAGGTGCAGCTAGGCTGGAGCTCCCTTACTTCCTGCACGTTGTGAGTTTGCAACATCGCCAACCATCAAACGACACCACTTCAACCTCATCACCAATCCTCTCCATGCCATGTTTTTTCACAAGACATGTCTCTCCTTCCGCATCTCTAGCGCACGCCACGAAGCCCGTCTCAGACTCCACACTCTGTTGTCTTGATTCGCCAATCTCTGCCAGTTCCACCGTTCAACCTTGGTTTCTTGCGGGGAATCTAGACAATCCTTTGCTTTCACAAGCCGCCAACGAAGCAAGACTCTGAAGTTTGAGCTTCCTGTTGTCTTACATGCTCAATACTGCCTCAGTCGCCTCCTGTTCGTATCACTCACCGCCACACGCCAGGCCTTTCTTTTTCATCAAAAGATCGCCGGCTATCTAGTCAGCTTTGTACTCTGGGTCTCGGGCATCCGTCTGACGTGACGCCCCGGCTGCATCTGCCATCTGCATCCATGATACAATCACAATTCATCTGCAGCTCGACAACAGAAGGCCTGCAAGTTGCTGCCGCTTGGGACTTGACAGTTGGGGATCGAGGCATCCCGCAATCTAATACGGACACCTAAGCTTTCCGCCGTGGCCTTGCACGTACGAATACCTGTGCTCGGTCCTGATTCACTGATTCAATATGCCGGTAATCTGCAGAGTACCTCACATGCCTCGCTTGATACGGCGACGACACCAGCAATGGCGCCCCTTCTGGGATTTGAGACGAGACGAGGGCAAGGGAGCCTGCGGACCCATTGCGTCCCTCACGATCCTCTCGTCTGGTAGATGACAATTGACCAAAGCAGGTCATCAACCCGTCACAAGATTGCCAGCCGCCCTTCGACTCTTCGACTGCTCCATCCAGAAACGCGTACGTAGTCGCGATCTCTCAAGTTGGTTGGCTCTGGGCCGTCAATTTCAAGTATGCCCAGGGACAGCTTGCTGGGCTTACATGCCCTGGTCCATGCAGACTCTAACCCTTGCACGTTGCCCTGAACAGCCGGGGGAGGGTACGAATCGACGTTGCATTTTAATCCAATGATGACCTGCTGGGGCCCTGTCTGCTCAAGAGCCGGAGGAGCAGCAAGCATAGGGTGCGTCGACAAATTGCAACATGGTGCAGAGAGCGCGACGCATGCGACCTGCGAAGACGGCAGATGGCATGCGATGCGACCATTCAATTTTACGCCATCAATGATGAGGAAACAAGAAATACGTACTTCGTACAGACCGTCAGACTGACCGGCGGCAGAAGGTATTCCGCTGATGATCCTTCAGAATGAATCAATTGAGCCAAGGTCGACACTGCGATGTTCATTTACCCCAACTCTCAGACATCCGAGCGCGCGGCGAGGGAACCAGATCGCCGGTCTACCTGGTTTATACAGCACGATGCCAGGGACTTGACCCTCCCGTTATCCTATCACGGTTGAACTCTCTGCTGGTTTGCTGCGCCGCCCCTCAATCTCCTGTTGATCTCGGCAGGGCCAGTCAATCCGGAAGGGGACAAAAAAAAAGGGAGAGCCGAGAGACGACCCTCGCACACCTCGATCCAAGTTGCCACACACACAACGTACCGTACGGAGTGCGGATACATAATCCACATATCCAGTCCACATACAAAAACATGAGCACGCCAAAGACACACATGGCACAAATCCAGACAAGCAGTGCCGAGACAGAAAGCTGCCATCTGCCGCAGAGATCACTTCTTGAGACTTGACGGTCACCGATACTGTCATGAGAGGAAATGACAATGGCAGAAGAAACAGAACTGCAAGCTTTGCAGGCAGATGGCAGGACCTCTTGTGCTACAGTTTGCTTTGCAAGCTGCTGTACTCGCGACGATCGTGTGCTTGCCGCCGCACAAGGCCTGCCAACACTAGCGGGTACTGCGTACGGATACAAGATGCAGGCTGCAGACGCAGCAACACAGACGCCTCGGCCGCCCTGGGCCGGTGGCACTAACATGGAATACGCGATGGGGCTTCGCTGCGGCCTGTCAGGGATCTGATCCGCCGCGTTGGTCGTTGGTCTCTGGTTGTTGGACAGTTTTTTTGGAGTCCAGTCTGTTCTTTCGCGGACCCTTCGCTTCGATCCCTCGGAACTCGATTTTGTGATCGATTCCTTTGTGTCATGCTTCACCAATATTTGATTGCGGAAACCCCAGTGCAACGTGGTGGATATTATTCGCGGAGGTGACAACTCGTTCGAGGAGAAAACTCTTTCAACCTCCATCTCGCAGCCGTTTAAGCCTCCATCGTACAGGTCACGGTGGACACGGCCATGTGTCATGAACACGCACTTGGGTCGGGACAATTAATGACAGTTCACAGGCGAAGAGCATGCTTCAGACAGAACCAGACGCCAGCCCACCTTCCAAGCTTCGACGCCAAATAAGACCAATATTGCTTCTGCAACCGTGTGGCAGCGAACTGCCGTATGCAGCGCAGATATGCACAGAGAGCCCACTACCAGCGTAGCATTATTGAAGGCACAAGAGACCCCTCGCCCACATCCGCCCACATTGCTTCTTCTTCCTTTTTTTTTTTTTTTTTTTTTTTTTTTTGGGTCGTCGACTGTTCGACAGTCCGATGATACGGGTACGAAGCACAGGCTACGGATACTCTATGTATATTCAGTACTTCGTACGGATACCCGAGTTATAATTGTTCCTTTGGTGGACCGAAAATCGGGGACGCGATGCTTGCCGTTTGCTACTCGCTTCTCAACAGTCAACGCTAAGAGGCTTGCTGCCCCTGACCCGGCCATTCTAGGTGTCTCCATCCCGTGAGCTCCGGAGTCCCGCTGGACTGGTTCCCTCACTGGTTCGCAAATCGCAACGGCCTCGCGAGAATGGTAAGGTATCACGCAGTACTGGGGACGCAGAGTGGACGGCACGAGCAGTACCTATGCTGTGGTTCGCGCAGACTCTGCATGCCCCGGAAGTGAAAACAAAAGAACGCCAAAGCCAAGGGACGGCCTTGTCTACCACTCCGTACAGACTATGCATGCACAGTTGAGGTGCGGACGACGCAAGGGCGAGAAGGACCATGCCTGGCGAATCTGTGTCTCACTCTCACAACTAACAATGGCCGTCAACATTCTTGTCTTTCCGACGGACCTACGGTCTATAGAATACTTAAAGTCTCCCTCCGTGTCAGTTGTCTGAGATGGTGCAGCAAGCCCGGCGACGTGTATCGCACCTATATTGATTGTTGTTGTTGTTGTTGTGACCCTCGAGGTGTCACGGCAGACGCAGCTTTCCCTTCTGGCAATCTCTTGGAAGCAATCTTTCTCATTCTCGATCCCTCGAGGTATTCGGAGACGGAGCTCTCTGCCGCCACACCCCCCTTCCCATCTCATCTCCCTCGTCACGTCGTGGGCCCTCTTTCACTCTTCCACTTCTCTCCAACGGTCACAGGGTGTCCTCTTTGGGGATCCCGGATCCGACCACACAATCGTCCTTTCGGCTTTTGTATACGCAACATTGAGATACACTACATCGTACCGTACAGATACCTCCCCCCTTAGGCCCCTCCTCATAGGTAAGGAAGCAGAAGCAGGATAGAAGCAGTGGAAATCGAACAACAAGGTCCTTCCTCGGATCCCTACTAGCGACAGTCCCTTCTTCTGCCCTGCTGCTCCGTCGTCTCTGCCCATTGCCCACAGACGTGAGCAGTCGGGTGTCCATCGTCGCTGGAGCATTGTGGTACATACACACGGCTACACGCCCGTCGCCCGTGGCCCATCCCCATCCCCTTCCCTGTCGTCAGCCCTGGCAGCTTAAAGGCTGAGCAGCTCCCAAGCGGCCAGCATCCTCATGAGCGACGACCACCCCTGGCTCTTGGAGTTTCTCCCCTTTTCTCTCAGAGACTCGCCCAATGGCATGAGCATCAACCCATGTGGCATGCACCCCATGTTCGTGTTAGACGTTCCAGCTCCCTTCCCTGCCCCACACGCGACCGAGGCCCTCCCTGCAAGGAACATCTCTCCAACAACCTTTAAAACATCCCGTCCGCCGGTTCTGGGGCGAGGACGCTCCGTCCGGAGCATGAAAAACCTCTTGCCACTGACCCTGCCCTCCAGCTCCAGCAACAGCTCCAACGCCAGCTCCAACTGCGGTTCGAGTTCCAGATCTAGCTCTAGCTCTAGCTCCATCTTCAGCCCGCAGCCGATCATCTGTCGTCCTGTCTCGTCGCCGCTGCCAACCCAGTTTCAACCACACCACCATCACCATAGTCATCACCCGCCTTCCCAGCCGCATACCGACCTTTCCTACGGATACCATCCCGAGTGTTTATGCATCCGAGCCGGCGTCATGGCCGAAGCCGCGGAACCAACCATGGACTGCAACCTGCCGGAGCTGCTGGCTCAGGACCTTGAGTTCTCTGCCCTCATCTTCGCCGCCAAGAACATGACTGCCGGCGCGCCCTCGCCTGCTCTCGCCTCAGATGAAGATGACTGGCACGACACCGCCGAACCTCCTACAGTCCTTGGCGCACCATGCCATCCCAATGGGATAGCTCAGTTCCAGCCTCTGGGTGCTATCGACGAGAAGAGCTCGGCCAGCGATGCGAGCCATCATGACATTTCAGACGCCGCTTCAAGCTCAAGCGGTGACTCCTTTAGCATGACCGGGGGTGACCTCGACGGCGAAGACGACGCTGCGGAGTCACCGCACATCCGCCAACATTCTGTTCTCACTGCAGACACCACCATTTCGGCCTCGAGCCAGCCCGTGGTCGCGTCATCTTCATCACAAAAACGAGTCGTCTCCTTCGGAGGCGAAGCAGACGGAAGCTTGGAGAGCTGGATGGACTTTGAGCCAGACGCGCCGGCGGATCATCCCGAGCTCGGCAAGAGCCTAGTCCAATCGCCCGTTTTGACACCCATCAAGCCGGTGCGGCCGCTATCCCGACTAGGCGACCGGTCCATCAACGAATCACCGCCCCGGGCCAAGAGCGCCAGTGCCGCAGCCACTACGCGCCGGCTGTCCAACCCGTTTGAGGGTTACACCCGGCCCACCAGCCGGGCCCGGAGTCTCCATCTAGACCCTACGGCGGCGGCCGTGGCTGCTGCCGCCAAGGAGCAGAACCGTCATTCGATCCATTCGGTTCACTCACTTCACTCCGTCGACATCGCCGTGCCCACGCGTTGCTCATCGCTAAAACATCGCGTCTCATTCACCGATGACGCCCGCAAGGCCATCTCTACTCGTTCTCGATCGCGTTCGCATGCGTCTTCGCGACATGTGCAACCCGATCACATCGTCGCGCCGGGAACGGATCGTAGCTCTATTATCTCCGATCTCAAAGAGGAACTGGAGCCATGGTTCCGTTACCTCGATGCGCATGACACGCCAACGCCAACTCCTCGTCAGGGCCTGGCTTCCCCTTTACTCGTGACACCGCGTCCGACCTCCCGCTCCGGCGCCGCTGGTCCTTCAAGAGCATACACCACCCCGACTCCTCGTCCTCGATCCCAGGCTCAAACAAGGTCTCGGCCTGCGTCGTCTCTCAGCACATCCTATACCTGGCTCGAGGACCCGATCGACATCCCACCTCCTCCCTCGGACGACCAAAGCCGCCGTATTCCCCTTCCTCCCAACGTGATGGAATCGTTGCGCGTCTCCGTGACATGCTTCCCCGAGACAACGCTCCTCTGCTCCAGCCTTTCCATCGAGACGATCCGTAGCTACTCCCGCAAGGTCAGACAACCAGCCGCTCCGGAAACTCTCCGCCCAGACACCCCACCCGCGTCCCCGAAACGCTGGCGCTGGCTCAGCTCCCGCCGCACCTCCAATCTCAACCGCCGCTGCTGCTCCCGCGGCGCATCCTCCTCCAACCTCGATCTCCCCTCCTCTGCCTCGCTATCGCCGTCAATGGCTACCCTCGCTGCTCCACCCCAGTGGTCCCGGATTCGCAGCGTCTTCCCCCAAGGGTCAGATTGGCTCTGTGACGCCCTCTACGCCCACATTGTCGCGTACAACTACCTCGCGCCCATGGTTCAGAACAGTACGACACAGTCGCAGCCGAGACCACCCACACCTGCTAGCCCCAGCAGCAGCAGCATTATCACGGACGATTCTATCCCCAAAAAGGCCGCCACCTTACTCGGCCTTCAGGGCATGCAAGGGATGCAGGACATGACGACATCGCCACCGCCGCCAAAGCCCTTGCGGAAGCGATCCAGCATGTTTCTCGGCCTCCGAACCTGCTCGGCGTCACGACAGAGTCAGATTCCAACGCCGGCTGCTGCTGCTGCTGCTGTGCCAACAATGACGCCGGCGGCACACCCGGCTGCGGTCTCTGATGTCCCCCTTCGGGAGCTGCAGCAGGGACTGTCGCGGTGTATCGCGCACTTGGTGACGACGTTGCGCGCCGGGGGATCCGGCAGGTCCATGGTGGGAGGTGACCTGATCAACGAGGTTGATCCGCTCGTCATGCGATCTCTGTGCGAGATTGTCAAGTGCTGCGAGGAGTCGCCGAGCACGACGAATGATCGGTCTTTGTAACAACAATTTTTATCATCTTCACTATACCATTAGAGTTTTGTTTTGTTTTTGTGTTTTTTTTGTTTTCTTATCAGCGGACTTGAGGCGTACTGGGTAGTTATGAGGCGCTCGTGGGTAGGGTGATCAGGGAAGCGCGCGAATCTTGTTCTGGAATTTGGTATATATACCCTGATTTCTTGTCGTTCAAGCGTGGAGTAGAAAAGGGGGTTGGTCAGTCACAAAAGACAAAAAAGCCTACTGGGGGGGTTCGGCATGGTGTTTTTAACGGGTAATTGGTAGAAGGGAATCACATGGCCACACGCCTCTTTCACACTCGTCTCGTTCTGCTTGATTTGATTTTCAAGATAAAGTGACGTCGATAACGCGGAGTTGGGAGCATGTCATGAGTGAGTGATTTGGTCCACAACATATTCCGGAGAACTTCATTCGGAGGACACGCTTTAATATGTCTGTACTGTTTGCATAGTTGTTCCGTGATCTGACCTTCTGCTACGGACTAATCTTAAGACTCAGATTGGTGACAGAAGGATCAACTAGGAGCAAAGGCGGTGTTTGCAAAGGTAGGTTTTGTATTGAATAGAAACTGAGTCTTGCCTGCTTCTCGACAACGTTTCGCGCAATTCTTCGCGACGTCTCCATCCAGCAACGACCCCCCTCTCCCCCTTTCGCTTGACTACAACCCCCATGAGTCCGTCGACGAGCCCATGAACGAAATAGACGCTGGCAGCGACGACTACGAGCACTTAAGCGCCAATGATCCCAAGGATGACTCCCTTGTGTCTTGAAGTACTGTTCAAGTGTGTGAATCAGTTAGGACCCCAAGGTACAGCACCTACTTTACCTTGCAAGATAATCATACACCAAGAGCCCGCATCTCCGAAAGGTTTGACTTTTCCCCATTTCGATCTTCCAGTACCCATCTCCGAAAAGGAGATGTTGATCACAAAGTAAGACTTGGAAAATTCAACAAAGGAGTCGGACAACTCTTCCCCCATAACCACCGCATCCGCATCACAGACTATCACTTTACCTTTCTCTCCACTATTTTGCAGATACACAAGACAGGATAGACCGAAATGGCGAATACACACGAGCAGCAACAAGATTCCCATCTCCTCCATCGCCCAACATGGCGAACATCAAACGGCCTCGGCTGTCTGCGCAGCCGCTTCCAGAATCTGCCAGCGGAGGTCCTGCTTGTCATCATAGAGCAGTTCCTCCAGCCGGAGGCTAAACGCGGTAATCTTCAAGACCTGGGAAATGGCGGACCGTCGCCATCAGAGCTGCAGCGGCTGGGGCTGCCGGTATTACCATCACCAACCCCAAACACCGCCCAGGCCCAAAAACCGGACGAGGCACAAAAGCCAACCATGCCAGACCTCGCAGAGCTTTTCTACCTAGGCCTCCTCAACGACAGACTCCGAGAGTTGATCCCACCCATGCTAGAGTCCCATGCGCGCAGCAACTCCTCCCGTAGCACAAACGCAAGCATGAGCCCGACCTCACAGACAGATCCGAGCGGGTTGTATTCCTACATCCTCATCTTCTCCACAATACGAGGGCTTCGTGAAGGTATTATCGCCGCCCTGGACCGCGGCGCGGATATCAACGCCAACGACGGCATCGAAAAGTCCCTCGCCGTCAACAGAATGACTGACAACAAGCCTACGGGCTCGTGTCTGACTGCCCTTCATTGGGCGGCGTTTAACCGGGATACTGCGATGCTTCGCCTGTTACTCGACCGCGGCGCTGACGTCCGACGCACGGCGGTCCGCACGACGTACAGCTCCATGGACGCCCACAACCCGATTCGGGCGCAGGGTTTTCGCCCGCATTTGCTCCTGGGTCCAGGCGATCGCCTAGAAGACAATGCAAAGACGCTGGTGAATGCGCTCGGTTTCGCGTTACAGGCGAATTACCGCCTCTTGCCTGATGGCATGACGGAGCAGCAGCGACAGGCGTTTGTGGCTGATCGTGATATGCGCGATGAAGAGGCTGTGAGGATACTGGTCGAGGCCGGGTGTCCTGCTTTCGTTATGGAGCATCGGGAGCGGGAGTTCAATGACGCCTGTGAGCTGGAGCGGTGGGGTGTTGCGCGGGATATTTTGGCGAATACGGAATGGAGGAGAAGGTGCGCTGAGAGGGATGATGATAGTTCGCGGCTGTCTCTTGTGCGTGTTGTTAGGGGGAGGAATCCTAGTCGGCGGGTGATGGGCTGTAATGCGAATGAGTGGTGATGCTGTTGAAGGATGCTTCCGAGGACAGTGGGGTTATTGGAGAGAGAGGATGGGATGCCGACTCCTTTGTTGTCGATTCTCCTCGGGAAGAAATCTTCCTCTTGGGTTCATGGCGGCGGCTACTACTGAAGTTTGAAGAATGTCCCTCTGGAAATCTCGTGATATGGGGATGCATACTAGTCTCTGTACTAGCAGTAGCCAAGATTCTATTCTGTCCTTAAGCGCTCTCAGCCTCACTTCTCTAGTATATGAGAGACATTCAGAATTGGAAGTATCTTAGTATACAACTACATACGTCATTACCTAAAGTCATTAATCCAACTCCATGACAATTTACTACGTCTAACAGACATCGTTTACATATACCCACGATTCAAATCAACCTCAGCTTCACCACATCCCTCTATACTATGAATAATCAACACTCCCTTCAAAAGGATACGGATCCCTCACAACCCTCCCAACCTGTGAATCCCAATCCGGATCCCCAATCCCATCCCCCTCCTCCTTGTCCCCCTTCCACCCGCCGCGTGGCCTGGTCGTCCTCCCCGTCTCCCCTCTCCCAATCCGCCCCCCACTTCCCGCACCATCACCACGTCTACCACCACCAGGCCCATCACCATCATCACCATGCCACACTCTCGCCACGCGCCCCTTCCCCCTCACCCCCTTCATACACCCATTACTCAGCCCCAACAAGCCCGCGCTCCCCAGCAACAGCACAAGCAGCACTAGATTCCCCGCCTGCGAGACGTTGCCGCTGAATATGGCGACGACGTACACTGCCAGCTTGGCCGTTGCCTCGAGATACCCCTGCGCGGCCGTCTTCGCGAGGAGCCAGGCATCTGTTGTTAAAGCGGCGAGGTCTTCTGCGGGGCCGCGCATGCGGATTTTGAGGGAGGGGGTTAGGGGGATGAGGTATTCTGTGAGTTTTGGCGGTAAAGACGATATGGATATGCCGCCGTTGCCGTTGCTGGTGAAGAATGGAGTGGGTGGTGCCGGGGCTGGGCTCGGGGGAGGAGGGGTGCGTTGTTTGATAATGTAGATGTTTAGGAGGCGGGATGTGATGAGTGCTAGGATCGATGCGAGACCCCACCCTTGATCTTTTGTCAGTTTCATCGCGGAAGGGCACTCCACCGTCTAGATCTAGTTTGAGATTGATTGTGGGAGAAGAGATCGTGAACAAGGGGGTCGGTGGAAATCGAACGATCGCAGTGGGTTACCATGCAGAAGGGAGGAGACGTGGGAAAAACGACCAAGAAACAGAAAACTCACAGTCCGCTAGTAAAATCATGATAGTCAACGCAGCAAACGTAAGAACCGGACTCGCAAGGTACAGCAAGTGACTGCCCCGCTCAAACTCCCACTCCGAATCGTGCTCAAAAGCCCGGCCGCGTCGGTTTTGGCTCCGGCTTCGGCCCCGTTTCCGGCTGGTGGCTAAGGTGCCGACGTCGAGTGTGATGATCTTTTCCCCGCTTCCTCCTCCGCCTCCTACTCCTCCGGCCCCGAAGGCCTCGACTCCACCACCGCCGGCTAGCTTCCTCCTCTTGAGCTCCTTCTCCCGCGCCCGCTCCTCCTGGACCCCAAGCCGTGAAAGGAAGAGCAGCATCCCCGGATTCGTCACTTTAACGTCCTTCTTCCGTCCGCCGGGTAGTGCCTGCGTGCCGAAGATGCCGGCACCGCCGTTTCCTCCCCCTCCTCCCGCGGCGGCACTTCCGTAGCCGAACGCAGCGGATGTCTGGGCCGTGACAGCACCGCTGGTCCCCGCGACACTATCGGCCGCTTGCTGATAGTGCAATCCCGGCGCGAGGACCAATGCGTCGAACCACGACGACGTGCCCGTCAGCGCGGTGCGGTTGGCGATGGTCTGTAGGTCTGCAAGGGCGACGAGGCCTGCTGCCGAGAGGGAGAGGCCTGGGATGGGTTCTTTGGAGAGGACTGGGAAGGGCATGGTGTTTCGTATGGGCTTACTTGTTCCCGCCCAGCCTTGTTTCTTACAAGGCTTGGTGATGAAGATACCTTTGGAGGTGGCAGCTTGTCGTGGATCTCTTATCTTGATCGGACTTGATCGGTGAGTGGTAGGCGCCTGAGCCTCACGCTGATGACGTGGTCGAGATCCCCGGCGGCGGTATCGTCACGAGGACGTGGATGGCATGGTGTTGGTCTTCTCCGTTGGCGACGACCAGAACAGAATTAAACACGATGAACCCGGGTTCGCTGTATCGATGAGCAGGCCGGTATGCAAACAACCAAAGAAAGTTCCGTCCGAATGACCTTGAGTTGCAGGGTTGCATCCTGCTGCGGGCTGACCCTTTCGCCCCTCCATCCCACCCTCCATCTTGCCCCTCCTCTATCCGAACTGCCTAGTATATCTAGCTCTCTGAACCTCTAAAGCTTCCCAGCCTCTTTCTCCTAACCCGACGCTATTAAGTGCATGTGAAGTCGCAGCCAAGCTTGGAGCCGTTGCGAACGATGGCGCTGACGTTGAGTCCCCCACTTACCAACGCTAAGGCGTATGCGTATGGCGTTGATTGCTACTCCGCATCTAAAGAGTCCCGATTCCCTACCCCACCTAGAGTGTCAGACGCCGGCCGGTCGGCGTTGGATAGGCCCGTTTTGTCTCAGACAGAGGGAGTTTGCAAATAAGCTTAAGTCGAGTTTACACGGATCATTAAGCAGAATGTGAGACGTTTGGGAGGATGATAGAGCTATGGGATCTCAAGCTACGGAAACTGACAGTATTTCCGAAGAAGAGCTGGTTTTTGAGGAAACATCTGGCTCACATACCCCATGGCGTTTAGCAACATGGGGCAATATAGGATACTAGAATGTTGAATTGTACTTGCGACATCGTTGTTGATTTTGGTTGAAACAAGTTCGTCCTCAGACCTAATTAAATGATCTACCTAGTGATCACATACGAAGCGCGCAACTGTGCATGGAACTACAACCTGGCATGTGGCCCAAACTGTACACGGAGAGAACAATCTGATAAGGATGCGCATCATTGCTCCGTCTTGGCCAAGTGAACTGAAGCACTCCTGCTATATTAGTAGTTTCCAGCCCTTGGGATACGCGTAGCCTAAGCTCCCGTTATCAAGTTGGGTTCAGACTAAAGCATGAGCATTAGTGGCCGCCCTGTAAAAGAGCACCCTGATACATTGCCTTTACTTATCGTAGAGAAGGTTAGTGGATCCAGAGATAGAAGCCGGCGGATTGACAAGTAGACTTCTTAGACCAAGGGATCGAGACCCGTTTCTCGAAAATCTAATATGGAGGTTACGTCCTTCATCCATGTGTCGTCACGATCTTTTCCCAAGCTGAAAGCTGTGGCTCTCGAATCGAACTACGAGGTCGACGGGGATTCATAAGGCCAGAGTTTAGGAGCTCATGCTCGGCACGGCTCTACGATTTAGATGGTCAGCACAGCCTTCGAAGATCAAAGTTGAAGGGAGTCTACAATCTAACGCGACATCGAAGATGACGCTAGGTATTGCCCCCAAGAGGATAAGACTGGATTCAGCATGAGAGCAGAACCATAGCTAGATTATGTCCCGACAAATTGAGTGATCTCGCTGGAAACAATCTTCTCGAATGACCCGGAACCATTTTACATTCATCCAGAACAACGTACTAGGGATCCGTTATGGCTGTATAGTAGAAGACAATTCATTCGCGCAGATGATCCCAGCCGCAACCATAGAAACACCACATCAATCTTCCCACTCATGCCTCAAAAACGAAACGAAAACGCCCCATGAAATCCTCCCTAAAAACCATCAACCAAAGCACTTCATAAAAACGGCCCCAAAATCTCCATCGTCAAATCCCACACCTTCCCCTGCACATCCCCCCTCAACTCCACCAACGCACTCTCACTATACGAAACCTCCCCCTTATGATTCACCAAAAACAACCCATTCCTCCCCTCCTCCCCCATTGTATTCTTATCTCCTTTGTCTTTCCCATTTCCCTCTTCCCCCCCTATCGATTTCCCACCAAACCTCCCACACGTCGCCAAATAAACATGCCTCTCCCCTGCCTCCCTCTCATCAAACCCCATGACCAAAAACAACGGCTTCAACAAATTCGTCAACGGGAACGGACTCCACCACGTCGGCGTGTGATACCGCGCCATGTTCCCCGTGTCCACCGCCCCGGGCCAGTTATGTACGAAAGTAACCCCCGCGTTAGCCGGGTCGGAGGCGAGTTTATCTAAAAAGAGGGTGTTCATGGTTGCCATGTGCGTCTGGGTCTTGAAGCCGAAGAGTCTGCTGCTGCTGCTGTTGCTGGGCGACGAGCGGGTGAGGTTGAGGTCTGTTGCGTCGATGCGGGTGGAGAGCATGCTGCCCGCCAGGACGGTGAGGACGCGCGGGGAGGGGTTTGGGCCGGGGGATGATTCGGATGCGGAGGCGGAGGCGCGGAGGAGAGGGAGGAGGTGTAGAGTGGCGAGCATGCGGGAGTAATACTCCAGAGAATGGCAGACATCTATCCCTTCCGCGGTATCTAACACAAAATCAGTAACTTCACTCTACTCATCCAGATACCTCTCCTCTCATCTTGCACAACAATAAGCAAACAATTTCTCAAAACTCACCGTTCCGTCCCCCAAAAGGCGCATACCCAGCCGTCAAACACAAAAAATCAAGATTCGTCTCCTTTTCTTTAACAACCTCACACACTCGTCTCGTCTCCACCAGCAACGATACCTCGGACTCAACCCAAATTAACTCGGCCCGCGGGTTCTTGCGCCGCAGGTCCTCGAGCACGGGTCTCATCGCCGGCTCCGTGGCTTTGCGGCCGGCGATGTAGACCCGTATGGGAAAGCCGAGGGACACGAGCTCGATGAGGGTAAGCTTGCCGATGCCCGACGTGCCCCCTAAGAAGACGGCCGTTTGGGGCGCGGTTTGGGATGTGAGGTGGCTGTTGGAGTTTTGGACTTGGGCGCGGGTGACCATCTTGTATAGTAGGTGTTTTATGTTATTGTATGACTGGAATTTTGTAAAGAAAAGTGTGAGTGAGAGGGAAATCTAAGAGCAGTTTCCCTTGGACTAGAACAGAATCCCAAACAACTTCTAATTCATTCATTCGAATGATTTCATTCATCTTTTATACATCATTTCCAGGAGGTTCGGATAGCTTCGCATTCCTCACCGGGTTAGCACCATCGGGATAGCAGAAAGCGGAGTTTGCTGACGCGCTAGTGGGAAGGAACGAACACCAGCTGCAAGCCCATCGGAGCATCCATCTCTATCTTAGGTACCTGGCCTGTAGTGTTGCCTACCTTATCGATGGGGGGGGGGGGGTTCAAGTTAATCATTGTACATTCCCTCACTGACTTAGCCAATCACATCAAAACCCCAACACTTGTTATATCGAGACCACTTCAAGCCTGAGGGGGACTCGTGTGTTCAGCTATGAAAGCCGAACATCCGGGCGCGGGAGTAGCGGTGGAGTTTGCGCCCCTTCGCATTCCCGATCCGGTAAGCGAAATGCTCCACTTCTCCGCGGTCGCCGGCCGAATGAGTGGGCCTCCGGTCAGCAGCTCGTGGTGCCAGTGCTCTCTTCCAGTTCTCACCATTTCTCAGTGGTACGTAATGGATGTCCTCTTCCCCTCACCCCGTTTTGTTAGAGAAATTCGAACATGATGAATCATTGATTCTACAAAGGTGCACGATTTTCGGGATAAAAGGTTTGTCTTGAGGAAAGGGTTTGTGACGCGGTCCGGATTAATCTTGTTTGGCCAGCGGGTTGGGGTGTAATCTATCCCGTCGGAGAAACAACAGAGTTGGAAATTGTCAGTGCGAAAATGAGCTTACACGCTCACCTAAAACCCGGAGAACGCCCAAAGATGACGCAGAATCATTACGGCGTCATCTGCAGACTGCATGCACCTATTTCAGCAGTAATACCTCGCCATAAAATTCTGCGTCGTCTTTTCTCTGAGTCAGCGTCAATGACTCTTGTGAGATCCACGAGGCCATGAATAAGCGGGAGGACCTATGGCGAAGTAAACCGCGAACTACCCGTCAGGAACTCAGGAGATGCATCCGCAGTCTTGAAGTTTTCAAAGCTGACTCCTCGTCTCCTCGCCTCCTGTGTCCACCAATAAGCAAGTTTGGCGAGAATGAACCAATGTTTCGTGATACGCAGCTGGGGTCTCGCGCGCGCTCTCCATCATCAAGGGGGCCTCCACGTTTCGAGTCGTCGATCATGGGCTGAGTATTCGTATACGATATGATCAAAATCTGAAAAGTGCTCAAAGGGGGGAAAAAAGAAAGGATCATCTGGCGGCATATGACTTGACTTAAATACGATGACTGGCGATGGGAAAATGGTTTGCCACGTTTGAATGCCAGTCTTTCTACTTTTCCGCCTGGTATTGTTCACTTACAGCCACTATCAACACTTTATTGCGATCAGGGCCTGGGCAGTAGAAGCTTATTTTGCTGGTGTCTCTCGGCGGACAATAGAGGCTTGCACTAGCGAGCGGAGAGGCACGGCGGGACAAGCAGCCAAGTGCCAAGTGCTGCAGGGCACAATGGAACCTCGAGACGCCGAGAAGTACGACCTGGACAGGACCAATCGCCAATTTCCAGCCCTGGAAGATTTAAGGATGTCTCACTACAAGGGGCAGAAGCAAGCTTGCTTAGGTTGCAACATGCGGAGAAGAGTTCTAGTACGACGTTAGCTGCTCTCAACGCAACGGTAAGGGCTTGGCGGCGTCGGTATCCGCAGTACGGAGTACGGAGCACATTTTCTCAGTCCATCAGCCGGAACAGAGAACTGGCGTCCGAATTGGGGCGAATGGTCTGCTTCGGGATGCGAGGGACGCGAGGGGCGCGAGGGCCGGGAGGGATGCGTATGTTCAGCCTAGCTTCTCCTTTGAAATGAAGAAGTATGGCTCTAATGTTCAGGGGCACTTCATTACTCTCGCTACCAGCCAAGCCGATCTACTCTGGAAAGACTGCGTCATGACTGCCGTTGTCGCGGCTTTATCATGCTTATAGGATCCGTTGCTCTGAAGGAGTGGCAGATTCCGTTCGCCTGCTGCCTTTCGACTCACTGCGTCCCTCCTCAGATAGATGCTCAGAGCCACGGAATCGATACACGAGTTCCATGTAGACAGAATCTTAAGTGGCGAGAGAAGCAACGCCAGTGTTTCTCACTGAGACGTTCCAGCCGTGATGCGGTTCATCCTGGGTCAAGTGACAGTGACAGCGTAGACAACGCAGATCTTGCGGATGTTGGATGAACCGACTGACGGTGACAAGCCGAAGGTTACGGGCGGTGCTGACGAAATATGAGGAGAAGTCGTCTTGGCTCACGCTCGCCGGTGACCAGTCACCAGCTGCGTGGTTTATGCGTTGCAGAAAAACTGGCTGAAAACCCTTGGTGATGGTGAAGATGACGACGTCCTTGGCCACCAAGACGGCATTCGGGATTCGCCAAGCCGACTCTGCTGAAGACTGTCGTTGGACATTAGGGGCGACGTCGCATTCAGATTGAGTTCTCTTGTTGATGATGGAGACGAAAACGCTGGGCGACTTGGCACGTCGTCGGCAGAGATGGGGTCCCAAACAAATAGCGAAAGCGAAGACCAGCGCCAACGTCGAGTTGAGCAAGTTGCGCGCCGGACACCGAGGACGTACCGTTCAGTGGTCGGGGCAGAGGGAAAGAGAGGCAGAGCGTCAGGCCTACCCAGCAGGAGGGTAACTCTTTCTGCTCTCTGTGGGGATCGAGAAGCAGGCCGTTCAGTTGGGACCACAGTCAAAAGGCCGGCCGGCAGGCAAGCACTGGGTTGAGACCGTGAGCGGTGAGCCTGTGAGAGACAGAGAGACTCAGGAAAATGGGGATAGCTTCTCGAGTTCCCATGTCGTCGCTAAAACATCAGACGCGGTTCCGGTAGACGCTGGGACTTGGCGCCAAAGGAGGGGCCGTCTGACGTCTGGAGCGCGCCAAGAAGCTTCAGATGAAGGCAGGCGGTGCCGACGGGGTGGTCGAGACGGTCGGCGGGAGCGCGGAGAGGGATGGCATGGCTGACGGATGGGGTACGGCGAGGCGTGGCATTGGTGATGGATAGTTGCGTGGGTTGTACAAGTCCGAACTTTGAGGGCGCACTCCGTACTCTGTACTCCGTAGACCGTAGACGGTAGGCAAGTAACAAGGTAGGTCGAGTCGTAGACTGGCGTAGCTGGTAGAGAAGGGGAGGGACCGGGGCTGAAGAGCAGACGAATGCTACCGCGCAGGCGACGTCGTGGAAGACAATTGGTGAAGTTGAGATGCGGAGGTGGAGGTTTGTCGCAGGCCCCGGCAGTTTGGAAAGGCGTGAGACGCGCCCAGAAGAAGTCAGGAGGTGCAAGACTTGGCGAGAGACGCGGCCGGCGAACGCAGTCCTAAAGCGGTCCATTCCATTGGTAGGCGGCCTATGGAGTACCTACACTACAGCAGCACAGCAGGTAGAGGCGCTGCAGTGCGGATCAAGCGAGGGGATTAGCGGTCGGGTAACCTGGTTCAAGGCAAGTTATCCGTGACAGGGAAGATGTTTCCAGCGGTGTACCGCCTGGATGGAACGCTAGGGTGCACACCGGCCAGGCGCTCTCCCACATCACGACGCTTCCTCATTGGCAGTCCCCCCATCGCTTAGCTTAGTCAGTTCTGGACGTTCTGGACGTTATCCTCTCTGTCTGCTGTTTACATGGTGGCGGCTCACATATCGCTAGCCATCACCAAGTTGCCCCCTTCCACTTCCGCCCCCAGTTTGACTTGGCAGCCATTTAAGCTCTTGGCCCTGCAAAAATCAGCTGTTTTCTTTCTCCCTACCCCTTCTTCCTGTCATCCCTTCTCACAAGCCTCTCCCCTCTCGACGGGATCTAACGTCTTTTCAGTCTTAGCGTGTCTGTCAGACATGTTGTCGGGCTCTCCTCAGTCGTCACCCGTAGACCGTAGCTTGGCTGCAACGCAAGCAAGAAAGATGGGAGGGATTCATACCTTAGTGCAATATGTGTAAGGCAGGAACGTGCTTCATCTGAGGTGCCTCAGCTTCACACCGGGTCTTGCCATGCGGTCGACTTGCTCTTTCCTGCTGCGGTCTGGAACTGGCTGCTGTGTGTCCTGTGCGTCGTCTCAGCACGCGGTGACGGTTGGGAAAAGTGGGCTCGAATGCCCTTGGTCGTCCGAACAGAGTCAGCGTGACAGAGACAGGCAAGAGCAGGAGGTCGTGCATGGCTTAAAGGCTGTTAAGGTTTAGAGCGCTACCAATGGTGAACAAGGTTTTTTCTGACGGCTGCCTCATCCCTGGTTGCTTCCTGCCATCACACAGTACCTTCCTTACATTTCCTTACTCTTGCCAAATCTGCCACGCGTACGAGTAAGAGCAGGAACGATGGATCTTTACAGCTTTACTCTACCTTGCCAGGCTTACCTGACCTGACATACCTACTCATTTACCTTACCTTAGCCAGAAGGAGAGAGCATGCTTGCAGTTTTCTTAACCTGCAGTTGCTACCCAGACCAGGCCTCACCGCAGGCATCGCACCTACCAGCTTTTCTTTACATCTCTAACGCCCTCACCCACCTGCGGATACCTTCTTGAGGAAGATAGTAGGCAAGCACGGATAACTCAGTGCAGAGCAGTCCCTTCCCTCCTTCCCTGCTCAGCCTGCCCGTAACACGTGGTTCAGGGAAAGTCCGAGAGATACGTACCAAATGCCCACCTTGCCTTGGCACCTTCCATACCGTACCTTAGGTACTGAGTAAGGTACCTAGTGTCTGAATGTCCGAGTCTCGTGCTCCAGTGGCAAATGCTGCTGCTCCCCGCCTTCCAAGCTCTTGGTATTCTCTTGGATGCATTGCTCGGCCTCTTGGACAAAGAGCCTCAATTCTTGACTTCCGTCTTCCCCTAGACATCACTCCCGCATATAATATTCTTCCGGCTTCGACTTGGCCAACGCTGCTCTTGTCGTCGATCCTTCCAAATGCTTATTTTTAGCCGCCCTCCCGCTTCTTGGAAATCACTTGGGTAAATGCAGTCATTCAGCATCACCTACCATGATGGTGTTGATATCCAACCCGTCGTCTCAACAAGATCACCGCTAAGATCATCTTTGGGAAGGGGGCTTCCTCTCCGTCCGAACCAGCGCTTCTCTCCCCCAGCCGTCACTGCAACTCCCACATTGAGACTCGTGGAACGCGCACCGCAAGGGTCTTCTCTACAGCTATTGACTTGGCCAAGCACCAGACTCACAAAGTGGCCATATTCCCCACATCCCCGTCCAACCCTCCGGAGCCTGACAGTTTCACCCTGGCGACGCACTCCCATCCTGTCAACTTGACCAGGGTCGTAGGGCCCCCTGGCTTCCGCTCTCTTGTCCAAACGGCCTTCCTCCTAGGCTCCTCCTCCGTCTCAATAGCCTCGCCCGGCCTTGGCCGCCTGCTCTCGAGTCTCAATCATCAATCCTGGTCCATAGTCCAGATGACATGCAGTCGCATTGGATGGAGAAGCTTGAAAGCCCCCCTCCCATTCTGCGCCAGAAACACGCCCGCGATGCCATAGGAAACGGAGGCGCTCATCCCCAAACACAGGGAATCCTAAACCTCATTCATTAACCCATTCTCTTTTTCCTTCTGAGCCTCTCACTGCTCCTCAACACCCTGGATGAAGCACATGCCAAGATCCTCACCATGATTCCGTCTCTCGCTGCTTATCCGCCCCGGCTATCTTCGCATGGGTTCTTGCCTATTGATACTATTCTTGGACCTGTGAGGTAGATCATCAAGATAACCAGCCCTCGATTACAGTCTTACAGATCATGAGTATATAGGCATCATGCCATCTTGACGCAAACATAATCCTTCTCTCGGTTCATCTCGTTTCTCATCTTCATCATCTGTCTTTTCTTCACCCTCAACTTCTTTTCCCGTTCGTTTCGTTTCTTCCCCTAGAGGGCTGGTCATACGTTTTCTTCAATAATCTACTTTTTGTAACTCGCTTCTATTCTTCCCTTCCTTCGATCCTTTGTAGGCCCCCCCACGCGCTGGTCCCGTATCCTACCTTTAGTTCAACATGTCTTCCCGTCTCATCACCTTCGGCTTCTTCGCCGCCTCCGTCTCTCAGGTCCTGGCCTCGTGTGCCTATGGAACTCACTTGGATCCTCGCGCTGAGGAGGGAAAGGTCAAGGTCAACAACTTTGCGTATACCGGCAGCAATGTAAGTGGTCTCTTTTCCCCTAGAAGCTACGCGTCTCAATACTAACAATCTCATAAAGGGCCCCTTGAACTGGGTCGCCCTGGATGCTACTGCCAACCAGCTGTGCGCCACGGGAACCACCCAGTCCCCTATCGACATGGTCGCCGGCTCCTTCAACGTTCTCCCTGGAAGCTCCATCAACCTCGAGATCCCCGACATGGCCGAGGGCACCGAGTTCGAGAACCTGGGAACCACCGTCGAGGTTATTGCCAAGGGTGGGTCGATGCAAGTTGGAGGCAGCAACTTCACCCTGCAGCAGTTCCACTTCCACCTGCCCAGCGAGCATCTCGACGCCGGAAAGAGCATGGCTATGGAAATGCACATGGTCTTCGAGGGTGCCAACCAGGAGATTGCTGTCATTGGTACCTACATCGATCTTGAGCAGGGCGCTGCCGCTGCTGCCCCCGCCGCCCCTGTCACCGAGGCTGCTCCTGTTGCCGAAGCTGCTCCTGCTGGAGGAAACGCCACTGCCGAGCGCCGCACCAAGCTGGCCCGCCGCGCTGCCACTGGAGCCGCAGCTGAAGCCCCGAAAGCTATCCCCGCGATGGGAACCAACCCGATCAAGGCTGAGGCCGCTTCTTCCAGCCTTCTCGAGACCGTCTTCTCTTCCCTCGATGCCATCAAGGAGCCCGGTACTGTCACCAAGACTGGTGCGCTGAACATGCAGGAGGTTGTCACGCTTCTCTCCGCCGGCAGCTTCCAAAGGTACAATCCACGTTTGATAGTCTTCTCTGGTTTCCAATGTCTAATTTCTGTGCAGCTACATGGGTTCCCTCACTACTCCTCCCTGCTCAGAGGGTGTTCAGTGGCTCGTCTCAACTCAGCGCCTGATGGTCCAGCCCCAAACCTTCACTGCCGTCCGCGACGTCATTGGCTTCAACGCCCGATTCCCCCAGAACACCCTCGGCCAGGCCAACATCATTCAGGTTGCCCAGCAGAGTCTCACCAGCGCCAACATTGCCAACCCCGTTGCTGCTGCTCCTGCTGTCGCTGCTCCCGTTGCCGCTGCGCCCGCCGCTCCTGCTGCTGAGGCTGCCAAGGAAGCTGCTCCCGCCGCCGCCCCGGCCGCTCACGCCTAGACGATCAATAACGGCCAGCCGGCGAGGACGGCGGAAGAATCGGCGTCGCGAGGAATCGTTGCGACTCAGCTGATGCAGTAGGCTGGGCCAAGATGTGCAAGGATGCTCGATGCCTATTTTGAGTTCAAGTGTACCCTGGTCTCATGCCGATGGATGGAGGAAGGCCGACGTAAAAGCAGTCCCCGGGCGCTGCATTTGCAGCTGGGACAAGATAATCTTAACACCAGCCAGCTGCGCGCATTTGTACAGACATGACTAATTGAAGGAGAGTTATACCTGGGCAATTCTCTATGGGCCGCTTTCCTCTGTTTAGCATGTGGGTTGATCTGTAATTACCGATGCCTCTTCGATGAAACCCAGTTCCAAGGCCCAAGTGTAGAGAACGATAGCAAGATAGCGGACAGTGAGGGAAATACCACGGGGCTCTGGAGTCCCAATGCATAGCAGTTTACCGAGTCAAGAAGCATAATGGTGGAATAATGATAAGATGGGCATAGATGGCTAGACAGAGACAAAAGTAACACGAGTCAACTGTAGTGTATCTCACCAATTCAAGTGACCATGTATCCCGGCCCCAGTGCGCAGATCCGCAAAGAGGTCGCCGTCGGAAATCCCGGGTGAACGAGAACGATTTCTTCATAGATCACGGGGGCAGAGAGATGCATTCATCAAAGGAACGCTCTTGGTGTTTGGCCAAGATACCAAGCCCGGTGGAAATAGAAGCGGTATTCTCAAGTTTCTGAATCTGATCAATCTGGGAGAACACCCAGGACACTTTAAGGGCCGCAGCGACTTTTTAAAGAGAGCGTTTCGTGTATCTTGTTAAACGCTCTTGGTGGCCGGCTTGGCGGCTACCGATTGATTGCGCGGCTCTTTCTGGCCGCATTATCTAGTGAACGTCTGCCCGTTTTCGCGTTTGGCTCGCAAGGATATGCTGGGTTTGAGGGGATCTGTGCTTGGTGTTTGAGAGGCGCGACTCGTGGTGGCTGGACATGGGACGTAAGGAAGTTGCTGGAGCACTAATGCGCCGGTCCGGGTCGGTCGGTTCGGCAACTCGAGGACCAAGGTGAGGTAGGCGGGGGCGGTTGCAAGAGAGAGAAAGACGAGAGGGTATGGGTGAGATGGCCAAGAAAAAGGCGCCGGCCGGCGACGATATTTCCCACGTGGTGACTTGGGGACGTGCTAATGATGATGATGAAATGTCTTGGAGGCCAAGGGCCAAGGTGTCGAGTGTTTTGCTTGGGACGTGTAGTAATTTGTAGTATTTAGATTGAGTGAGCTCAAGGTTTAGGTAAGTATATAGTACTCAAAGGTAAGTAAGGACGGCAAGGTGAAAGACCAGCGTAGAGTCATTCTTTGAACACGGTCTGGTGGAAAGTGCCTGCCTGTGTAATGGGATTCATCTGGTAAAGGATAAGTATATAAGGAGAGTTTCGGCCGTGTCATTGGTGTTATGAAGACACAGCAACGCTTGATGTTGTAAGCTTGAAGCTTTCTCTGGTGGATGCGACGTTTTATCCTCGCGGCGCGGGTGGACTCGATGCAATTGACGATGTCTAATATTTTCAGAGGGAAGACGCAACAGTCATGGCGTGGTGATAATTTAGATACTTGGGGGTTATCGTTGCGCTCTGTCTTGGGAACAGAGGGACGAAATACACCCTTGGTGAAAGGCTGCGACAGAGGGCAGTGGCGGGTGGGTGGTCTAGGCAAGTAGGTGTAAGTACAGAGGGGCCAGAGAAGTTCAGCCTTCTTAGGCGAGGTACTTCCCTGGAGCGAAGTTCTTCTAGAAGAAAGTGCAGCGGCTGAGAAGCAGATTGGACTTTGCTTCCTGTCTCTGGTGGAATTCTTCAATGGTTTTCTTTCCTGTTGTTGCTTACATAGCTCTGCGATGATCAGCTTTTCCAGCGTGGTTGGGGCCTTTTGCCCGAAGGGGGAATACGGGGCAAGGACGCAGAGCGGTCCCCCCCCCGTTCTTGCCTTGCTAAAATCGCCGTATGACGATTCGGAAGAGGATGGAAGACACTTGCATATCTCTGATCTTTGGCTTACAATGTGATACGGGCGAATAGTAGTTGTAAAGTAGTTGATGGGGCGACTTCTTCACAGCGTAGCCGGTGGGCGGGTGATGCATGATGGCTCATCCGGGTTAAGTGGACCCGCCCATCGGCGCCGGGTCCGATATTGGCTAGACATATGGGGCCGTGACGGTAGCGCTTACTTTGCATCAACATCACCTTCCCTTGCGGGTTGATCGAGAAGGAAGATCTACGCATTTCAGAAAGGTTGTGAAAAGCTTCGACAGGGAAGAAAGCTATAAATCCAAGAGGCCAACCTTGCGTTTCTCTTTGCTAGAATCCTTCCGTCTCAACATCAAAATCACCATAATCACAAGAACCTAACTCCTACAAAACCTCAAAATGGCTGACCCCGCGGCAAACCTCCCACCCCTCCTCACATCAACCCAACTCCTCGCCTTCACAACATCCCTCAACCTCCCACCACCAACCCACACAGAGCCCCTCACAGTAACAGCAGCCTTTCACAGCATCTATCTCCTCCACTTTCCCCCTTCCGCTTACCCCAACCTCGCCCCGGCACGTCCCAACGCAGACGGCACCATAACCCTGGTCCTCCGCGTAGCAGGCCCGCACTTACCACGCATAAAAACAGAAAACGAAGTCGCCGTGATGCGCTGGGTCCGGCAACACACCTCCGTTCCCGTACCCGCCGTGCTGCGCTGGGATTCTTCTTGTGAGAATGTGCTTGGGTGCGAGTTTACGCTATTGGAGAGAGTCGAGGGTGTGAGTGCAGATAAGGTGTTCTGGGAGCTGGGGGAGAGTGAAAGGAGGAGGCTTATCGAGCAGCTTGTGGGCTTTCTCGCGGAGTTGTGGGAAAGTTCGAGGGGCGTGTGGAAGCTCGTGGGCGGGTTGAGGGTCGATGACAAGGGGGAGATTGTGCCGGGGCCGGTTGTGGATGAGTGGTTTTGGATGGAGCCTGAGATTTCGCGGTGCTGGGATGGTGAGACGACCGAGACGTTGAATCCTGTTGGGGGTGCGTTCTCTGGGTGGGCGGAGCATCTTGATAAGAGCGTTGAGAAGTATGTCTACGCTATTGGGAGACACCCTTCGCTCGAGTGGATGAGGGATCTCGTGCCGCGGTTGGAGGCGTATAGAGAGTATATTAGGGTTCACGCGGACGAGGTGGATGATACGCGGTATGTACTCTCGCACCGGGACCTGCACCTCGCGAACGTCATGGTGGACGGGGAGGGAAACGTGACGGGGATTTTGGATTGGGAGTTTGGTGGCGTGGTGCCTGGGCCGAGGTGGGACCCGCCGAATGCGTTTTTGTATCCTTGGGGCGGAGAGGATGATGAGATTGTGGCCAAGGCAGAGAGGGAGAGGATGAGGGGGTGGGCTAGGGAGGTTTGTCTGGAGAAGGGGATTGAAGGGGAGGTTGTGGCTGGATGGCCTTATAAGGGCATTCAGGAGACGGTGCAGAAGGTCGTGAACTTTACGAGGGCGATTTGTGAGGTTTGTCCGAGGGGTCAGGAGGAGAAGGCGAGGGTGTGGAGGGTGAGTCTGGAGAGCGAGTTGACGAGGCTGGGGTTGTGACCGGTATCATGTTGGATGTTTAGAAGTAGAAGACACACTGCAACTATTACAATAGATTCAAGGTATCTCTAGCATCACATACACACCAGAAGAACTCCTAATAGACAAAGTCATCCGCAGCGCTGAAGATATCTCAAAGAGGGCAAGTTCCACTCTCTCTTCCTCTCTCAATAAACTCCTCATGCTCTTGTTCAAGCATCACATGTTCACCTTCTAGCCCGACCTGAATTATCTAATCTTGACGCCGGCCCACTTCCATCCAGCTCAGCATAGAGCTGTGGAGCAGGCAGCTCCGTCACTTCTTGCCGATTCCTACCATGCTGGTGTACGTAAAGCTCGTGATACCGCGGCGCAGGAGAAGCGAATTTATTCGGCTCAAGAGGCCTCGCAAGATATTCTTCGACGACTGGCACAGTTTCTCCTGCCCTGCGCTGTTGCTTGCGCTTCCTACGCCATAAGAAGAACCCGAGGATGGCCAGAGCGATGACCCCTACCACAGCACCTACGCCGATTCCAATGGCGGTCGGCAACGGGAGGGCTGCGGACTCGGGCGTCGACGTCGCTCCCGAGGGCGGAAGTGTCGTGGTCGATGCAGTTTCTCGAGGCAGGGCAAGGGTGTTGATTTTGACTGCGTTTGTGGGTGTTGGAGTTGCGTCAGTGACTGTGACTCTTGCTATTGGAGTGGCTGCTGTCTCTTCGATATTCCAACCCAGCACTGCGATGGCACCAACGAAACCTGGTTGGGTGAGGGTTGAAGTCGCCATTGTCCAGCTTGAAGTATCTGGAGCGGATGTTGATGCATAGGTGATCACCGCTCCGGACAGGAGATCTGAACGGCAGTCTCCTTCAACAGACCCGGCAATACCTCTGATCAGAGTGTAGTCTCTACAACAACTAATCAGCAACGATCAACCACCTACTGAGAAACTCTCGATCACCAGCGACACTCACTGTGGGCAGCACATGGCAAGTGTACTACTCGTATCGTTCTTGACCGACGTCGCAACCGTCACCCAGCGCTCGGGACATACCAGAGGCCCGATACTAACGGCAATATGGCCCTCGCCGTCGTTGAGGCCAAGGCGTCCTTGCTCCCACCACGTTGTGACTGCTGGCGGCGCACATCGTACTCTGGTGTCAATGTCGATGCCGTAACCTGGGTCATACGCCGCGAGAGAGAAGCCGTTGAGGCGGTAGATGGTCGAACAGCTTGTCGGTGGTGTGAAGGCGGTCGGAAGCGCTATGAAGGATGTGACGGTGCCGTTGTCGTCCGTCACAGCGGGATATGCTGTCGCCATTGTTACCGAAATCTACAAGTTGTGACATCCATATAATGAGATAGTAATGACGATAATGAGTGGGGGAAAATGATAAAGTTGCTGAACCTTTTGATCCAGGGGACTCAACGAAGGCGAAGTTGATCTATCTGTTGCCAATGCTGTAGATTGAGCACGCATTTGCCTTTCAAACGGGTGAAACCGGCGTGCTGGTATTCTTGCATCGGTCTTGCATGATGAGTCCCTGCAATATCGTGCTGTTTTCCTTTGTTGGTTCTGAATTCAATTCATACATGTAGACAGTTGAGGGCTCTTTTTTGGCCTGCATCGTGGATGTGAGCCATGAGTCGCCCAGGTCTGAGGTGGAATCCGAAGAAATTGTCCAGCGCTTGCGTATCTCGAGAAAACAGGCCCCAACAACATGCCATGTGAAGATAAAGCAGGTAAAGTAGTCTTACGGCCGCAGTTTCCCAAGCGTAGCGCGCGGCACAAGATGGAAAGAACCCCCGAGGAACGAGTTCCAACATCGTGCAGTTTTGTGGAACCTGAGCGAATGGCATCTCGACATCTCGGGCTGCCAAGATTCAATCAGGCCGTTACCAACTCTTCGGTATCCAGTTGAAAGGGAAGGCGCTTGACTGCCCCTTGCAATGTTCGAAAGAGAAAAGTCAAGGAAACTACGTCTTTCATCCTTGGAACAGTTTGGCAATTACCGCCCGTTGGTTGTTCTTGCCTTCGCAAGATGGCTCATCGGGTACCTCTTCCTCAGACTGCGGGCAAGGTCCAAGGGCGCTAAGCGCTGGCGCTTCTGATTATTGGTCTTGAATGGAAGAACAGATCCATCCCTCTGTGTTTCTTTTGCATTGAGACTATTTCCTCTTAGTTGCGTCCTGGAAAACACGATCGAATTTAGTTCTGGATCATTCACACTCATTTTCGGCATCAAAAACACCACGATGGGCACCTCACCGAACCGACGAGGTCGGCAAGCACCCACGCGATCCAAAGCCGCTGGTTCGGCCGTTCGTGATTCTCGGATTTCTTTGCACTTGTCCAGCGAGAGGAAGAATTCGTCGAGACGGAGGATACGCAACGTCCTCATTGGCATATTTGTCTCCGCAATTCTTGTCGCATGCCTTAGAGGATATTTCTCTGGTCATGCTCTGGGACACATGCAGTACAATCCACAAGTTCAATTCGTCGACTGGCATGAAAGAAGAGAGGAAGTGAAAGATGCGTTTCTGACGAGCTGGAATGCTTACAAGAAACACGCATGGGGTAAGATGTCCTACCTGGCAAGTCGTTCCGTTGTTCGAATGCAACTAACATGCCAACTCTTTTCAAGGTAACGATGTCTTTCATCCCCTGTCCAAGAGAGGAGAAAACATGTCTCCCAAGGGCCTAGGCTGGATCATCGTCGACAGCCTAGACACAATGATGCTCATGAATCTCACCCAGCCCCTCGCCGACGCCCGGAGATGGTTGCACCGCAGCCTCACTTGGGACCAAGACCAAGACGTTAACACCTTTGAGACCACGATCCGTATGCTGGGCGGCCTCCTCTCAGCACACTACCTCTCGACCCAGCTGCCGCACGTCGCGTCCAAAAGAGACTCCGTCTACCTCTCCAAGGCGATCGATCTGGCCGACCGGCTTCTAGTAGCGTTTGACTCCAACTCTGGGATCCCTTATGCCAGCGTCAACATCGGCAAGAGGGAAGGCATCGCCTCGCATGCTGATGGCGGGGCTTCGTCCACGGCTGAGGCTGCTACTGTGCAGCTTGAGATGAAGTACCTTTCTCAGTTGACTGGCAATGATGTTTACTGGAAGAAAGCAGAGCGCGTCATGAAGGTGCTGGATGACCAGAGGATGGAGGGTGGTCTACTTCCCATCTTCGTGCATCCGAGCCACGGACAGTTCACGACGAGGGAGATTCGGCTCGGAAGTCGAGGTGACTCGTACTATGGTAGGATCAAGCCCACTTTGCGAGATGGCTCTGAGACTGACGCCGGATAGAGTATCTTGCGAAGCAGTACCTCCAAACAGGCGAAGCCATCTACCGCGACATGTGGGGTGACGCCTTGGGCGGCATCGCCAAACACCTCGTCACAACAACACGGAACGCAGCACTGAAGTTCGTTGCAGAGCTTCCGACCGGCGTGGGAGGACCGCTCTCTCCCAAGATGGACCACCTCGTCTGCTTTCTTCCGGGCACAATCGCCATGGCTGTGAGTTTCTCAAGTCTCTCGCTGTTGTCATTTCCTAAGGATACAGCCGACTGAACTTCACCGTGACAGGCTACAGAAGGGCGACCCCTTGCGGAAGCCCGCCGCGATCCGGGATGGACGCCCCAGCATGAAGACGACATCGAACTCGCGATCGAGATCATGAACACCTGCTGGGGCATGTACGCCGTCACCGACACCAGTCTCGCTCCCGAAATTGCGTGGTTCAACGCTACAGAAGCAGACTTACAGCCCGGACCTGGCGACAGATGGTTACGGAAAGAAAGCAGTGGTGCGTTGCCGTCTTTCTTCCCATCTTTCCAATCAAAGAAATCTTGTGCTAATAGAATGTTCAGCGCTGTCAAAATGGAAAAAGGACTTCATCATCAAGCCCCTAGACGCTCACAACCTGCAAAGACCCGAGACGGTAGAGAGTCTGTTCATGATGTACCGCATTACTGGCAACGCCATGTACCGAGAATGGGGCTGGAAGATTTTCCAGTCGTTCCAGGCGTATACTTTGGTGCCTGATGGAGAGGGGTACACTAGTTTAAATGATGTACGAACGGTGCCCGCGGCGACGAGGGATAATATGGAGAGTTTTTGGCTGGTAAGTCTTGATATCGACTTGTCGAAAGCTTGACACATAGCTGACTTTGAGCTGACGTTGTCAACTGCAGGCCGAGACTCTGAAATATTTATACTTACTGTTCTCGCCGACGGACTATATGCCATTGACAGAGGTCGTCTTCAATACGGAAGCGCATCCTTTTCCGAGGTTTGCGCCAAGGAGTTCTTTGAAGACTGGTTGGGAAAGACTGCCGCGATGATTGACCATGTAAATCATCTATGAAGGCTCAGGATTGCCCGTGTAAGATACAAATATTGATATAAACTTGGCAAAAAAGGCGTTACTTGCTCTTCACCTTCATCCTGGTTGAAAGGAATGAATCTTGCCGCAAGAGTGCAAGCCGCGCTCCCGCGGGGAAAAACAGATAACAACTAAAATAGGTAGAACGCGCGTCAAATACAGGACTTGGAACACGGGGACTCTCGAACGAAGAAGAAATAAGAACTTTGTCAATGCTGCATGCGTTGACATTCCTCGATGCTAAGCAGTGTATCTATCACCATGCCATGTGTCCTCTGCTCGTGCTAGGCCGAATGAGATTGCCTATTTCTGTTAGTGACGTCTGGGATACTGGACCTCCCGAGCTCCTCCGAGGGGCTCGGAGAGTGGCAGAAAATCCAGTCACCGAGGTTTTGTTGATAATTGGAAGTTCAAAGATATAGGCTCATTGGGGAAAGCCATCACTGCAACAACTGAGTCCACGGTGAGACTTAGGTCAGAAGTTTCACGCCGTTCCCTAGTATGAGTGGCTACGGGCACCAACTTAAAGTGAACCTCAGAGTCTCAGAGTCTCTCGCGTTCGTTCTCAAACCGAGATTTGGAAGGCCGACTTAAGCGTGGACGAGCAATGACCATTGAACACTTTTGAGTTCCTTGTTCATATGGAGAAGGCGGTGGATGGAGACAATACCCCACCTGATTCCGCGGAGCTAAGGAAGCTAGGGTGACATTGGATCTGACTGAATGTAGTGCATCATTGCGCACGTCGGAATTCGGCAATCAACCCAAGCTACCTATTGAAACCAGAAAATCTTGATGGATGTTCAAGCTTTCGAGGCCGAACCGAAAGTCATTGCCAAGGCTGTTGTCCAAGTTTGGGGTATTGCAGAAAGTTCTCCGAAACTCATTGGAGACATCGAGACGTAAAAAAAAAAAAAGAGTGACGGCAATGAGAAATTCGATCAAAAGCCGTAAGGGAATCTAGAGTTGACTTTTCGGTAGCTACAATTAGATTCAGAGCATTTGCGAATCACACGACCAAACGATGTCATCTCAAAAAGGAGCCAGCTCCCTGGTTGCCCCCAACATACAAGAGGCGTTTCGCCGGGCGGATATGGAACGGTAAAGTATCCGGTGAGTTGCCGCAACTATCGGTGTTTATGCCGCTCAATAGCCGCTGAAACCCGGGCGCGTTGGTCCAGATTGACAAAATGGTCACGCTTTCGTCCAATAGTAGCAAATTTCTCCGAACTCAACTCCACGTCTACACGTGTTGCTACGCAGAAAGTTGCGGGTTTATGAGACGAGTCAGTACTGTGTACATGCAATGCGCTACTTTAGTTTGGATCTTGGACAATCTGGGTAAATTTGGGGGCCTCTGGGGAGTCTCTTGCGGGGCGCGAGGGGCTCCTTTTCGTGAGCTTGCCATCACGCAAATGGCTGCTGGGATCATGTCAGCAAGCCAAGTTCGGGGTTCTTTCCCCTCCCCCGCCCCCTCCCCCACCTTGACGACGCCAACGACAAGCCCGGATGGCTTCGTTTTTGATGTCGTCGAGTGGGCGAGTGGGAACTTGGTGCGGATTTGGCCCTGTTCCCCCACCATCCCACCCATCCAGCCCGTCCATGGTCCATGGAATATCCATTTACCCCCGCTTACACGAAAGCCGTCGCGCGCATTGTGTTTTATTGGATCGTGGTCTCTCCGTCATCGGTATGCCTTGCCCCGAGGTTAGGTAAAACCAGACGTGACCCCTCGCTCATTTTCCTCCAGATGCTCTCGTTTCTCTGATATTTCTTCACGATCTCTTCAAAATTCACATTCTACTTTCATACCTCTCATAATGTAAGGGCCTCCGGTGCTATCCCAAGCTTCCAATTGGGGACAAAATCACTAACATACCAACGTCTAGATCTCAGAAACCCTCTATACCACACACGTCACAACCATGAAGCTCCTCTACCCCACCTCCCTCAAGCTCGACGTCGACAGCCTCCAGGGCTTCTCCGTCGACCTCGTCCCCTACGACGTGAAGACCACCATCCCCGAGGAGCACACAGACGCCGAGATCCTCGTCACCTGGACAAACTCCGCCGACAACCTCAAGGATGCCGCCGCCCGCCTCAAGAACATCAAGTGGATCCAGTCCCTCGCCGCCGGGCCCAACGACGTCCTCTCCGCGGGCTTCGACACCTCCAAGGTAACAGTCACCACCGGCTCAGGCCTCCACGACCACACCGTCGCAGAGCACGCCCTCGGCCTCCTCCTCAACGCCGCCCGCCGCTTCTACGAGATGCGCGACTACCAGCTCCAGTCAAAGTGGCCAGGCCACCTCGGCGGCCCGCAGCCCGACCGCCCGGCCAACGCTTTCACCACCCTCCGCGACGCTCGCGTGCTCATCTGGGGCTTCGGCAACATCGCCAAGTCGCTCACCCCGCACCTCCGCGGCCTCGGCGCCCAGGTGAAGGGCATCGCGCGCAACGCGGGCATCCGCGATGGCGTCGAGGTCTACGGCGAGGACAAGCTCGCCGAGCTGCTCCCCGAGACGGACGCCCTCGTCATGATCCTCCCCGGGTCCGAGTCCACCAAGAACGCGCTGAATGCCGCGCGCCTCAAGCAGCTGCCCAAGCACGCGTGGATCGTCAACGTCGGCCGCGGCACGTCCATTGACGAGGAGGCGCTTGTGGACGCGCTCGAAGCGGGCGAGGTCGGCGGCGCGGCGCTAGACGTGTTTGTTACGGAGCCGTTGCCTGAGTCGAGCCGGTTGTGGAAGGCGCCGAATGTTGTTGTTTCGCCGCATGCTGCTGGTGGAAGGCCGCAGGGCGCGGAGGCGTTGATCGCGTATAACTTGAGGCGGTTCCGCGCTAGTCAGTCGTTGAAGAATGTCATCTGAGGTGCGGCGGCGGCTCTTTTTTGAAGTAAAAAAATGGATGGAGAGCGTGGTTTGGTGAGTAATAGACATGATTGATACAATACTAAATACAAAACGACCTTCATGATTCCAGAGTTTGACTTATGCGTTGCCCTTCTACCCTTGCCCAGAACTGAATAGACTGTCATGCCATGAGTCAGGAGATGGGCGTGGGTATCGTGATCCCTCTCCGTCATTTGTTAACCATCTCGCTCAAGAGTCAAACGGCTCCGCAATCTTCTTCGCCCAGCATACCTCTTCAGTCCACGACCACACCGTAAGGTCGAGTGTCTCCTTCCAGTTATTCGTCTTCTCCATCCATGCTTCGTGACAAGCCTTCTGCAGGTCCTCTCGAGTCATTCCCTCGAGGTTCTGGTGAAACTTGCCATCCTCAAGCTGGCACCAATCCCGGAGCAAACGGCAGCGATCCTCTGCCGACGTGCGGCCAACCTCCCGATGAAGCCATTCGCTCACCCGGAAAACAGCGTAGTCCGGAATGGAAGTCAACGGCACCACATCAAACCCTTCTGCGCAGAGGGCGAGCTGCTCCTGTGTGAGCTCCATCTCGTCTCCCATGCCTCCCATGATCGCATCCTCTCCATCATCATCCAGTTCAGGCTCTGGCAGGTCGAATCCCTTGAAAGCTCTGGTGAGCTTCGTACTTTTGCCGGTGATGATGATATTTATGGCACACTTCAAGACAACATCGTACGTCTTGGCCAGAATCAATCTATTCTCTGGGTCGTCGATGACGCCGGAGTTGTAACCGAGAACAATAGCCATGACAAAGTGGCCACGGCGGTGGACTCGTCCGACTGTGGTCAAGCAGATTGTAGCCGGGAAAAGGTTTGCTTTTTGGGTTACGTCCCACTTCAGATCCGAGAACATCTCGACGGCAGACGGAACGATGACTTCAAAGGCCTTGCCGTGGGGTGGCTCTCTTCCGGGGAAGACGTTGTTCCAAGTGTCTTCACGCCAACGCGCAGCGATTTTGTCCAGGTCACGTACAAGGTAGTTTTCCGGTCTCATCAATGTAAGACCCAGCTTCTTCCGCTCCAGGGCGGGAAGGTCGTACTTTTGCTTGATGGCGTCCTTCAAGCCGTTGAACCAGGCGGAGGCGTCTTCGGGGGTCTTGGGCTTTACGGCCGGCTCGAGGTCGATCCATGGGAATGTCTCGTGATCACCATGTTTTGCGACTAGAGGGAAGTTCAAGAACGTTAGCAAAGGGCCTCGGCCTGGATGTACAAGGATCGCTGCGGTAGTACTTACACTTCTCATGGATGTAGCTCCACACATTAAAGTCGACATACCAGGCGAACCATGCAGTAGAAACGGATTCGCGGCCCTCGTGGATCAAAGATCTCGCCATTTGGTTTGCTCTCGCCGCTTTGACGCGTTCGTAGTTGAATTTGCGAGGGATTTTCAGTTCCCTGAACTTTCCTTCGACAATCTCTGCTCTTCCACCTGCTGCGAGAGCAATGTTCTCTTCTTCCTCGCTCTCGTGTGTCATCTTCTTCGATAGATCTGTGCTTGTTGGTTTTCTCCGAGTCTGCCATGATAGTTGCGATGGATATTCGTGGAATGGAGAAATTCTGGATGGGAGAAGACGCAATTGTAACGAAATGGTTGAGGAAAGAAGCGATGAGGCTAAAGGAGGAAACTTGAGGCAGGTCCTGTGATTCTGATTTCTCCCGTGGTAACGAGAAGGGTGTTCAAGCTGTTCCTCTTCCCTGTTACTCTATCCAGGGTGGGGGCTCGTCGTTCATGTAGAGGTCACAAGTGACGACTAATTGTGCTCGTCCATGTGATGTGAGGTACCTTAGGCTCCCTAGTCTCTTTCCTGGGTGCAGGAGACTGTAAAAGGGCGGTCTTATCTAAAAATATATCTCTCTTTCAATCGCCTTGAAACGTGAAGTTTCTGATGTGGCAAGATATTGGGAGTGCACATTGTTGTGAAATACCAGCGTTGTAAGAGGTATTTTCAGTGGACTTCAACAAATACTGAATGAAAGAAGCTTGACAACGATTTAGCACAAGTAAGCAACATCTTATATGAAGCCTCCAGATGGAGCCATTTGCCTTGCCAAATACAGAAAGAGTATGGCGCTTTCTGATCTCCACCTATTATCAAACTCAGGTACTTAGGGTTGATCAGGATTCGAACCATAGGAACCGACTTCAACCTGTTGTCGTTGTAAGACACCAACACTATCCACTCAAAACACGCCAATTATTCATCTATGGCGTCGTGATGGTCAAGCTATCTCATCAATGAGTATCACTTTTGGGAACCCTACTCTAGAGTTGAGCAAGTTCGGTTGAATATCAAAATACCCATCTAGGTGAACTTTGGCGTAGGGAAGTTTTCCAATTATAATGCTGGCTTTTGAGGGTATGCGTCGTCTTCTGAATTGGCAAACTATAGATTACCCAAGTATGCAGAAGTCTTCGAACTTGAACTTCGCAATACTGGTTACTGAACGAGAAACTTCCGAAACAAGGAACTTTCCCCGGCGTCTCGATCATATTCCGTCCTCTCCCAAGGGTATCTCAGGTTGTCTCCATTTAAGGTATGTAGGCTAAGCCAAATGCCTAGCAGGAAGTTCACGTCATCGTGAATTGCATCCAAATCAAGTTTCCATGAAGGCAGCTTCGAGTGACAAGAACGTAGAAAGTCTACATTATACAATCTAGTTTTCTCATCAGGGAGTCTCGACCTGCCATGAAGAAATTTGAAGTTTACCTCAATTTCTTTCTCCTCTTTCGATATCTTGCCTGATGTTCGTAGATATTCCAAGACTAGAGTTGTTTGAAACTAGATATGCTGCTATAGTAGTGAGCTTGCAACTCTGCATTATACATGTTTGCAGATCGTACATGCGCGAGTTTAGCCAACATTTGATTATTTTCTGCACCTAGGTAGCGAAGACTTTCTCATAATTGTTCTTCTTCCCGTTCTTCTCCAATCGCAAGTTTTGAACCTTGCATCACCCGCGAACTGACCTCCCTCCGCCATCTGATTCCAAGCCCTGGGCTGCGGTGTTGACCGTGTTGTCTGATAAACCAGGGCTTAGATATACTGAATTCCTTTTCTGAGACATTGCATCACTCTGAGACATTGCGACGCCTAGATTACCTCTAGTTTCCATGCAGCCATGCAAAGTACTAATTCAACAACAAGAGTTCTTGGAGAGAACTTGGATTTGCAAATTTGCTTCAGGGCTCACGAGGTTTGAACAGTCCAACGAAATATATCTTCGTATGTAAGTAAGACATCATGGAGACATGTGAATCTTTCAACTTAATCGTTATATTCAGGAATTTTCCAGTGTTGATGTGTGTGTAAGATTGAACTTCGACTTCAATTTTTCAAGTAGACTGGAAGCCATTGGTCATTTTCTGTCTTCGCCATGAAGCGTCTTTCCATTATTGGCTCCTCAAAGGTTTCTAGATATCGAACGAGAAATCATCATGAGCTAGTGTAGAACAGATCAATATTGGATCACAACAGAGCCTGCCAACTCTTCGACAATGTGCCCTTCCGTCTCTTTCTATTCAAACTATCATTTTTCTGCAGAATATGGAATGTTCTTGACATATTCTGTAGTACCAAGTGTAAAAATTCATTCCCATCTAAACCCGTACTCAGATAAAGGTTGGTCGCCGAAACTCGGCGGATGTGCCAGTGCCTTCGGCGACGAGGCGCTCCCAGTGCTAATCCTAAGCCGCAGCCTGCTTGCCCACACCACACCAAGAAGGTATGCATCGGGAATTCCAAAATTTTCTTCGCTTTAATTCGAAGCTTCTTGACCGAAAAAAAATACGTGTCACCAATATGCAATATCCCGCACCATAAACAGCAACTTTCGGACTCATACGCCCGTTGAGTTGCCTGACCGGGACGTCCTGCCCCTTTTCCGATTTGTCTACCCCAGGAGAAAAGAAGGTTGTGAGTCAAACATACCTAGATCTGGCATTTGTTCGCGATCTTGGTGTCGTGCGTGATCTTGTTGTTTAACGCGAGCATTCCCGTGACGGCAACGTACAGTATCCTGAGTATGCGGCTGCTAGCCTGCTCCTCAGCCCGGCAGCCCGGTCTTAGCATGGTCTCGAATCGTTTTCTAGGCACATATGTGCACTTGAGATATGCTCATCTTATATACAATTCCTGGGAACGGGAATGGCTTTTGCTAGCCCAGTCCCCTCTTCCTGGTGTTGTAGCTCGGATGCTATCTGTACGACACTGAATGCACTGCTGAGAGATCAGCCGTACCGCTTGGAATTGCAGATTATCTCAGAACCATATTTGCCATTCTTCGGGAAATGTTGCCCGGCTATCCAATGTTCCCTTCGCTAGTGTAGTTGCCTTACACTATTCTTTCCTGCGTGACGTAAAGTGTTCGTTCTGGAATCTTATCACCATGTCGTAAGGCAATTGACGAAGACACGATCAATTTAAGAAAGGCGGGACTAGGCAAGCTGCAACGACTCAATAAACACAGTGGCCAAATTTCAGCCTGAATCGTTTGCAACGATTTCGGTGTGGAAATACATCGAGATTCACACCCTCTTGCCCATGCGTCTTTGATGAGATTTGCACATCGAGGTTGAGCTTCACCAAGCCAGTCTGGATGAGCAGTCTAACAACATGTAGATATCCCATCATTGTGATGGCAGCCTTTCGATACTTCCCCCATATCAAATCTAAATACTCCTGGCGTCTTCAATAATGAGCTGAGCAAACACAAAGCGTTATCATATCTTGATCTAGCAATTGGATGACCCCAACATCTTTCTGTCGCCTAAAACCCTCCCATGTGCTTACGCAATTCGACGCCTCACACAGCCTGCTTCATCCAACACTTCAAAACAATCTAGCCGCTCAAATTCAATTGGTCAAAACGAAGCATCTCGAAACATGCTCAATACTAGCAACCTTGATGATCTGATATGCACATCCATTGCACCCTTATATCTCTGGTGTTCGGCACAGAAAGCACCCAACGCCGAAACTTAAGGGTGCTGTATTTGGTATTTTCTCAGCTAGAACGGCAGACCAATCGCGGCAAGTCGGAATAGCCACTACTTGCAGGCTACCGTGCATCAGTCATCCGCGCCTGTGAAACCTACACACCGGATCCCCGCATTTCAGGCAGATCATGAAGACCGGTCAGGAGGTGAACCAATAAAACTTGAACACCCGAATAATTTACTGTGTCTCTCTACATCGCTTGCGTATAGGAATTCTCCAGAAGATTACCAGGCACCAGGCTGCCGTGGTTTTCTGCGAGTTCCCCACGTTTGTGAATCTTCTCCTTTATGGGTTTGTGGGCCGAAACGCGCCGATTTTGACAATGATGTACAATATCACACCTTCATTACCATAACGGGATGCATGCATGCATGCGAGCTGGGCTGCATGGTCACCCGTAGCTATCTGGCTCGTTGTACCCGGTAGCTGCATTGGGGCTGTGCAGCCAACCCCTCATTGAGAATTTGGATGGAAGCTCTTCTGAGAAACTGAGAACATGGTCTGTTACAATGAGCTCTTGTGCCGATCACCGAAGTTGAGTATCTCCAATTTATGCACTGCTAATGACAGCAGCGATCTCATGCCCATTTCAACAAGTTTCAAATATGTAATTGTTGGATCATGATGTTGCTATCACCTGGACAGTGCATCTGAACGTCAGCATTTCGGTGTGCAATGACGAGTAGAATGACAAAATGTCTCACCGAGGAAGTTGGAATGGAGGGGTTTAAATTGTATCTTGTGGCTTCTTGATTCAAGGAGAGGGTGCATGCCTTGCATGATCTGCGGGCGTTGATAGTGCAGTGATGATACCCCTCGAAACTCGAGCTGGATGGGACCCAACTACACAACCTTTGAGGAAACAACGAAATGAAATGCGACCAGAGCACCTTGAGCGCTCAGTGCAGCTCAGTAGATATCAAGCTGCTATGGTAAAGGCCAGCAACCGTCGATTGAACTGGACGTAGTCATTGCTTTGTAAGATTGTGCTCTGTTGCGAAAGAGACATGTAGTAAGATATGGAAAGTCGCTCACAGCCTGGTCTTTTAGTGTAGTAAGTTTTCGGAGACGATTGGCGCGTTTCGCTCGTGCTCGTGCTACGCACGAGGAAGGCACATGGACAACAAGGATGATTGGGATGCGAACTTTTGTTGCACCTAGAACTCTTCGTCTAACTAGTATAAGCAATAATCAAGGCATGACTTGCAAGGGATATAAGGCAATCGCTCCAAAACGAGGCGTCCCAAGCCCGTCCAAGCCACCTGTATCGGGTTTGCAGGTGGGAGACATAGGCTGCAATGCGAGACAACCAACGTCTGAACGAGAATTATCTTTCCGAAACTGGACCACCAGACGAAACAATACCCGTGATTATGACATGCAGCTCGTCAAATGTCGACTATTCCGCATCCCACCGGTGACCGGGTCTTTCTGTAATCACTCGGACAAGCTGGCTGCGAGATCGGGCGGCGCTGACAAGTCCCGAGAGGTTAGTGAGCTGACGATCAAATCCCACAACGACCGCAGGATGACGGGGAGATATAAGCAGCCCCCACTGCGTCACGAAGGAGTTGACTCTCCAGTAGGGTATTTTCAATCAATGCTAACGTTAGGTACTGGCGCTTATAAGTTCATTACGAAAGTCCGGCGCAGGGCGAAGTTGACCTTAGTTCTGACTTGGAAGAGGATCGACGCAGAACTAAAGCTACCTTACTCTCCGGGTCCGAGTTCGCACCAAATCCGAAGCAAGGCAGCCAGGCTGTGTCCAGGCACCACGAGGCAACCACCTACCATAGCGTCGTAGTAAAATTTTACGATGCAGTCGTTTCGGACGAGAACGGACCCAAGCGGACGAATACCCCCTGCGCAGTCAGCATCCAGGGTCCGCGGAACCGGGCGCTGGTAAGCTCAATTAAACACTACCACTAGCTCCCAGTATCCCGGAGTATTTTCCGCGGAGACATCCGGGTTAACGGACGTCTGCCGTTCGGCAACGCCGGACTGGACCTGAACTCGCGGCGAACTTCGGGATATTTAAAACCACCCGGCAACCCGACCTCGGACGGAGAGGTGTGATTGAGGAAGAAGGCTTCTTCTGCACATTTGCCTCACGCTGACAGTTTCCCGAGGTAATTCGGCAAGTGCGGTACCTAATGCTGCAAGATTCGGTCTCCAGTGCGATCAGCAATCGGTTTTGTAAAGGTGCATGTCCCGTGCCTCCCGGTCGTATTTGCCCCAGATCTACCTTTTGCTCCGCCGCAAAATTACGACACCATGCCCGCGCTATTCTCCTACGCATCCGGGCGTCAAATTGAAGCCGCCTTGTCGGCCGAGAAAGTATGTCGAGGGCAGGATTGCGGGCGTACGTCGACGATTTCGTCAATATGGTGGCTGGGTTCGGATCACGCGTAGCATCGTCACCGACGTCTGACTTCAATGGTGGGTTGCCTTGTGACATTGGATTCCACATTGATGGCACCTTAGCTATGATTGCCCAATTGTCGATGCATGTTAAATCGTGTTTGCATACAAGTTCCCATAGAGGTTGCGCGCTTCAAGGCGTCAAGTAGGCTGACTCCGAGAGGTGGAATGCCACAAAACTTTCGTGCATGCATTGTGAGTAACAAATGTCATCTATACGAAAATTTAGTCAGTTCCTCGCCCGGGTAGACCCCAATAGACTACTATGTAGCGAATCATTGCATATACTTGTGAAGTCTCTGCACTGAAATCCGAATTCGTACAGTCAGGTGCATAGTAGGATAGAGTAATTTCATTGGCCCGAACGAACCCTTATAGAGAAACTCCGGTGCCGATCCCGGGAGTGCCGACGGCATAGCTAAACCATTCCGAGTACGTACATACGGTACGAATCTGAAACATCTCTACTCAGCTTTGTATCACAATAAGTCTCAATAGTTAGCTTCAAAAAAGTGGCAGAACCAAGATCGATCAGATTCACTTAATTGCGGCCGGTTGGCATATGCAGCGCCGATCTCCCGCTGGATACGGGCCGAACTGCATCCCGCACCCGGACTTAATCAGATATCGGGGACGTTACACTCGCGGAAACATATTTCAAACTATCTACTTTAGGCAGCATACATATACTTGAAAATAAAATCAGCGCAGACTTTGAGAATGGAATCAGGGTGACCCACCTGTTGCACTTCTCCCCACCGGTTTTCCAACTCATGAGAAGCGAGCGACTCGTTAGCCATACCCTAATTTGCGCTCGCCAAACTAGTTGTAGCGAGAGAAACGTAGACACTATTTCGGATGTGTAAACATTCGAAGATCTTGATCTCTGGTCTGTTGCCCAAGCTTCAGATCGAGATATCGGATTTGTAGACCAGGTGGCTGGTTCACCTTGGCAGGAAGCGTTGTAGCGGACAGAAACGAAACCCGGAAGCAAACAAAATAGACAACCAAAACGCCCCAAAAATGTTGTATCTCTACACAAGAGAACGCATAGCAACGCTTCCCACCAAGTAAAGATACCAGTCCACCACCGTCATTGACTTGCGTCAGGGGCATCTGGAATGATCACATCGGCACCGTCGAATACTCTCGTAGGTGTGACATCGGTGCTCAGATCAGGGATTTCTACATCAAATTGCGGCGCAACGCCGAATTGCTTCGTTTGCTCGTCGTAAGTCAACCACTTGCCCGATGTTGCTAGTCGGCAACCTAGCCAAAGACAGCGCTGCGAGCGCTCTTCCATCATTGACGCAACCTCGAAATACTTTTCATCGTCATCCACCTTTGTGGCTGTGAACCAATCATTAGGATAGTACTTATCAACCCAAAGGAGGCCCCGCTGCGCGAAGTCGTCCGGCAGAGGACGAGGTTCACCCTTGTCTGGTCGGGGGAAGTCTTCCGACTCCATGATCTTGATGATTTCAGTAGGCATGTCTGTGGGCATGATAGTGTTGAGGAGCAAAGCCATAATCTTCCAAGGCATCTTCTCTTCCACCAGACCCATGGCTGCAGGGAACTGGGAGAAGTGGAGGAGGAGTGAGAGAGTGACGTGCAGGTAGGGTCGGATGTTCTCGTCGCCGAACCGTCTCAGCACAACGTTATGAGTGCGAGCTGCAAAATCCAAGGCGTCCAGGAACTTCTGTGTTGGAGCGGCGACAGTCTCAGCCTCATCCATTGGAATGTCTGCGTCGTCGGCACGGCCAGATTTGATGGCTCTCATAATGGGATTGCTCTCGCTACCATATTCGAGAAGTGAGCACCCTAGCGCGATGGAAATGTAATACGCGCTATCCAGCCAGCGACGAGTGTGACGTGCGATGTGGTTGTCCAAGCTGTCGATAAACTCGTTGATAGACGATGAAAGTTGATCTGTGTTCTTGCCCGAAAAGAGGATTGCGTGAGCGCGCACAAAGGCTGCGTCAATCTCCTGCAGCTTCGTCTGTGTGCCATTGAGATGCGGGTCGAACAGAGTCATAATGGACTCGCGAGCAGACAGGAAAGGAACTGGCACGCAGAGAGACTTGGTGTAATAGAAAAGCTGCTGCAGAGCATTGGGACGAGCCAAAATTGCGAGGTGATGATAAAGGCGACCCGTTTGAGGGGCTTTATCACTAGCCTTTGAGTACCAATGGCGAGAGACTGAAGTCCAGACCTCTCTATCCTTGAGATCATCATCCTCAATAGCCATGCTGTGGAAAGAGTTAATATGTATATAGGAGGAAATAACGATGTCTGTCTCGAATATACTGACCGATAGCGGCCCAAGTCGCCGAGGCACTCAATCCAAGTATCTTCGAAAGTTGGCACAGTCTCATATAACAGAGCCATCATAGAATACGCCAAATAAATGAAGGTAAGCATATGTTCGAGCGAGGCAGGCAGACGATGACGCAAAAGCTCCAAAAATGAATGAATGCCATGACGCCACATACGAGCCGGCATTGCGTACTTGCTTGCAAGCCGACGTAATGCCGGACTTGCGGAAGGATGCTGCGACGCAAGGAAGAAATCATGGTGTTCATGCAGCAGAGTTCGGTGTAAAGCAATCAATGCCTGCCACTGCTCGTTATTCAGCTTGGGATTTGTCTCGTTATTTGAACTTTGAGCGTTGTCGACCTCGATACATTTCGATTCAACCATGACGAGCCCAGCATATATGCCTTTTACCTCAGCAACAAGCTGTTCTTGGCTAATTGGGCGCGTCTCTGGTTGTTTGATTAATACCTCAGTGTTATCAAAGTCAGAGGAACGCGGGTGCTCGAACGACCGATGAGAAGCTGCTCTGGGGAGGTCGGACCCATCTTTCTCCTTGGATCGCCCGCCGTCGATCCGTCGAGGCGTAGATGCTCCCTCCTCAGGAGTCCATAATCTACCAGCCTTGTGTGCCGGGTCTCTTTGGAAGTCACTGTCTTCAGCATGGCTGGCACCAGAAGCCTGTGGTTGCTGTCGAGCACGACTACGCTTTGGATGCGAAGACCTATGATCCCCATCTTTCCTCTTATTCTTTTCCGAAGAGGGGCTGGTGGCTCCTTGCCTATCGTGCCCGGCAACGGACGTCTGAGTACTCGGGTCCGCATTGTCTTTTGATGCTGTTGTATGTTGATCGGTTGCGGACTGTGGTTGGTTCGACGCTGGGCGTGCTTGTTGTCCCTTAATGCTATAGAAGTAAATGTTAGCACTGGATTGTGCGGCTCTGCGACTGACGGCATTACCGTAACCAAGTCCTGTCTACTAAATCGTTTTGGTCGCTGTCATGCCTACTATGGCCAGACTCTAGGAAGTGACGCTCCACGTCTTCCCTCGAGGGGCGTACAGGAAACGTGTAGTCGGGACAATGGGCGCATTTTCGAAGACTTATGTCGTTGGCCCGCTTGTAATTTGTGAGTCTCTTGGAAAGGTCCAAACCAGCGCCGCGAGATTTATCCGTCATATTCAACGTATATCGTGCGTGTTCCGTGCAGAACTGGCAGCAGAACAGCAGAAACGTCCAAGCTTCGGGGAAAAGTAATTCCTGATGGCTTTGGAGCCGATGGAAGTGATGAGACGCAGATTCAACAGTACTCCAGCTGGCTTCAACCCCTTCATATCATGGGGAGCAAAATCGTGCGAACGGTCCGCAAGATTTTGATGGAAGAACGCTGCTTTCTTCTTAGGGATGTCTTCTCTAGATGGCCAGAAAGCGCGGCTGCGAGGCAGCAGTAAGGCGGGCGCGGCGAACCACTCTATCTTCGAAGCGGATGGATTCAGGTACCTATGTATCCCCGCCCCGACCCCCATACCGCCACCCCATTTGCAAACGGTTAGCGCAGGTCGCCTTATACTTGAGCCGCATCTGGTTCGCAAACTAGGCGATTTTGTCATGTTGTCATGTTGGGGGACTTCCCCTTCGCCCACCCCAGCTCCCAACAGCTCCCCCCCCCCCTCTTTCACTACCCAATCTCTTCCGCTAGTAAGCGCACCGTCGCATATAATAAGGTGCTGTTCACCCGCACCTGAGTAGCCCCTCGCGCTGCCCGACAAGATCGATCTCGTCCTCTCAGATCAAAGTCCAGGATGCCTTTCTGCACTTTCCGATCTTGTCTTTCAAATCAAGAGTCACGGAAACGGAGACTCGTAAACGGTGTAAGCCACTGCTGACCAGCGTTGTAACGCGATGTATCCGCATCAAAGGGGGTGAGAAGATTGTGCACAAAATCAAGTCATGGCGTCGGGTGCTGGGGGATCATGTGCCTTTTGTCTAGCGGGTGCCGTAGCCGCCTGGGGGCCAAATCTGGCCCAACCCACTAACGCCGACTCACGTACTTAAGTTCAAATGACCAGCCCAATAAATATGGAATCATCCCGCACTTGTTCACCCTGGGGACATATTATCGTGTCAGGCCGCCAGCTTTTCTTCTCAGCTGACTGTCTTGAGAATTGCTACCACGAACATTGGGCCCTGCTGACCGAAATCTCAGCCATATGTGCCACCAGAAAGGTATTGACGGTGCTTCTTCTCCTATGTCCATACATCTTTCATTTCACAAGAAGACTTCGCCAGTACGAGCTTGGGTGAATCTTATCGTCTCGTAGGCTTGATATCTTGTCCCAAACTCACAACCAGTACTGAGCTTTGAGTGTCGGAGTTCCGCACTCAAGCCAGCTTCTGTCAGGCTGTCAACCTGGCCTGGCTACTTGTCTTTTTCCTCTACCAGGCTGCGGTGTTCGCTCCGACGCGTCTCATTGACCCTGCCCATGCTTAATCACACGTCCACAACTCAAGCGAGTCAAAAGCCACATGATACTACCGCACAGAAGCATCGTCGACTTCTGACCTTCCACGGAGATGGTCTTGTCGACAAGATTTCAAAAGCTGGAGGCCTCGTGACAAATCCATTGCTTCCGACCACGGAATGCTCGATTCTGTCTCCTTGGTGTGACAATTTTTCGCCAGGGTCATGTGGCGACCAATCTCGACTTCTCAAGTTTCCAACGCCACTAGGTTAATTGAACACAGCCACACGATTTACTGCATCGCATATCGGCCAGCCCGTAAAGCACCCCAACATTTACGAAGCGGATAATAAACTACCCCGACATTCCCGTAACAGCCACCACTGAACGATTTTTCCGAGGTCTCTCAACGGATTTGAGTAATGGAACCCGACGCGCATGTTGGTCTGCTGTAGCTGGATGGTTTGATTTGGCGGAGAAGAAGGTCCTGGTGGCCAATATCACGACAGTGGCACGTGGATGGTTACGCATGGGATGGAAGCCTTCTCGAAAGACACTACCCCCACGCGAATTCCAGCTGAAAGCTGATAGACTTGCAGATATCGTATACGTAAGAAGGCGACTCTTCAATGCCGCCCGAGCTGATTCGAGGAGGCTGGCTGAGCCCCTATCTCGATAACTGATACTCGTATGCCGACTGGACCCGTAACGACATTGCGACAACATTCTCGCTCCATACAAACGCATATTTTCATTCGGGCCTTCTGGGCGCAACTGAAGCTGGCCGTTTACTCAATGGCCCGTGGAACTCCATTAGATCAGGCGCCCGGCGTCCGGAGACATTCACATAAGCCATGTAGCACCCTGGGCTGAATTTGGATACCATCAGAATCATCACTGTTCCAGTTGCCTCGGTTCGAAGCAACTGGAACGAATCGATGCTTTTTCTTCACCGATCTCTCGGAGTGGGTCGTCATGTGGCTGGTCATCATTACTAAACGCTGCGTCGGCCTATAATGCCTAAAGTCAGCTCCTCTGGGGCTCTTCAGAGTCAGGGGTAAGCAACGAAGCAACTATTCGACGACAGGGCAACGTAGGCAACCAAAGAGACCATGAATCATCACAAGCCATTGCAAAGTCCTCGACGAACAGAGTAAGATGGTGCGGTCAGCTCTGCTGGCTGCATCCATGGCTCTTGGAGTCTTGAGCCTGACTTGAACGATCGGCGGTGCCGCGAGGCTAAATCAAACCCCTGGACCCAGTACGAGGCTGCTCCTCACTGACTACCATTTGTTTACATCACTTGATGTTCAGAGGCCCAGTTAAATTAGTACTCAGCATGAACGACTGCAAAGTACCTTTTTAATCACGGTTCTCTTCGAAATTTTAGGCAGAATCGTAGCCTTCAGCGAGGATCTTACATCCAGCGGCCTGAGGCTCTATGACTAGTTCTTACGACGCACGAAAACCTCAGTATTAAACGTCATTTGACCAAAGATCTTTCATCGGTCTTTGCGGATTTAACCCCCGAAAAGATGACAAATTCTAATTAAGATCATTCTAGAATTTGTTCTACGTTATGTGAGACTTGGGCTCAGGGTTCTCGGCTGCTAATCAGAATCTTGTCCCTGTTCTTAAGCAGCCTTTTCTTAATCCTGCAAAATGGTCGTCATTCAACATTCTGCATTCAGCAAGCTAGTTAGAGTAAACTACGAAACTGGTAAAGCAAGGCTGGATGATCGGCTTTAGATCTCGGAGCCAGCACATGCCTGGAGTGAAACGTGGTTCCCAAGCAATGTGCACTTTTTGGTCTCTTCAGAACTTCAGAAGCCGCTTAAGGTAGCCGGTTTTAACCATCCTAGCCATAATGCAAAGCCTTAGACACGTCAAAAGAACAGTATTCAACCTGAGTGCACATCGCCAAATTTTGTCCAGTACCATAACAAGTGCTAAAGTGGATTAACAAGTTAGCAACCTTCCAGGAATGGCAGACTGCGTCTTACTAGCTATGCACGTGATCCAAAACTTTAGTGATGTAGGAAATCAGATATGATCTAGGGCGTTGGCATGTCAAACTAAGTCACATTCTAACAATTGCTGCATGATGGTTGCAAACATGGAGGGCGGTACTGGATAGATTGATAAAGGCCCAACCATCTGCATGAAAGGGTCGGGCAGAGGAGGTCAGGCGGCATGCTGGTGGCTAGCATCGGGGCTTCTAGACTTGAACACTTGAACGACGTGAGACTACTATTAGGTTCTCTGGCATTAATCGTACGTGGGATAGATTCGCGATTGAGTGTGAATTGTTTCCATAAATCTGGCTAGCTTTACTCTCGACTCCGGTACCTTATGATGTCGAACCCAATACCCACATACATCAAAGTTGAGCGTAGTTGCATTAGTACTTTAGCTAAGTTTTTATCTTGCCAGCTTCATACAATAAAGGGAGCAACTGGAAAGCTGATCATCACTGTATCGAATAGTGTGGAATTCGACCATGTGAGTGACAACGATTGTTGAAATTGCATGGAATTGAGGTCGTCACCGGGTATTACGGATATAGAAGCATGTCAAATAAGGTCTGCGCCACATCCCGTAACCGTGGATAGACCCACTGTTCATGTCGGCGCCACAGCGAACCATTGCTCAGCGCCGTGAGGCAACCACGTCCGTGCCACAGACCAGTTTTATAGTGGAGACCAAGAGATGGACCAGCGGGGCAGGCACTGGCCGCTTTCCCATCTTTCGTCATTCGTGATTCGTCAATCCAATTGCCGTGGTTTAGATCAATAATTGGTTCGAATTCCCATCGCAATCTCATCCCATGATGAACTTATCATGCCACCCAAGCGGAATTTCATTTCCTCTATCACTCACCACCTGGCTCTGCGGCATTTTAATGTCTCAATGCTGCCATGGACCTCTTCAAAGAAACAAGGTCAAGCGAGGTACATGAGCTGTGCGAAATATAGCATCTTGTCGCCTCTCGCTAGCCTCTGGGTCACAATCTTCCTCACCAGTCGCCGTGGCATGATATTAAAGCTGACCATTCCGAATTCCAATTTGACAAATAAAGCACATGTTTTCATCATGAGGCATTACATCACCTTACAATCGGGAGACTTGACGACGCCTAGCAGCCCCAATCTCCACATCGATTGAACAGCTAAACAAAGCCAGGAGCTTTACCCTACTAACGTTACGCCGCAGACCATCGTTCGTCTTCAAAGTTCTTACACCGAGACGTCTGGGGGTCTCATGATATAGGAGAACAATAGAACCGCCTTAAGAGGCAAACTATGCGCCTGACCGATACGCGCCTCATCTCCGACTTGGCTACACTGTTCGGGTCAAAGAAATGGCCGTTATGCCCAAGACGGCATGTGCCCGTCGGTGAAGAGCTCTTCAAAGCTGTTCACGGCCAACCGATACCTCGTCATCTCGGCTAGAGGACAAACCTGATGAAGGCAGCCAGGCAACTTCGCTGGCCCCATTCAGACCCGGCAGTCAGCCCTACGTGGTAGCGAGGCACTGCGGCCTTGGACGGCGACACTGTGCCGTCGACAAAGGCCTCTTTACAGCCGCGCTGCAGGATCACACCCGGAAAGTGGCGGTGGGCAGCAAACCAACAATGCCAGCAAAACACATCTTCAGCCGTTCAATCAATGAACATATCTGCCGTCGATATTGAGCCAGCTTGCGGGCAACACGACGCCTCTCCAACAGCCACGGCGGCCGATTTATGGGCAAGCGCCATTGACTATCAAGGTCGTTGTTCGTGTCTCTGTTCGTGTCTCAGTGGACATGTTTGCGGTCGACGTATTTTCGTGCTGATCCGGGGGCCGCCTGCCGACGTTCCGAGTTATGATTAACCAGTATCATATGCGATCGACACGCTGATATTCAACGCCAGGCATGCCGCAAGGCTGGTAACCTGGTTGCCTCAATGCCGCGAGGCGCCTTCCAATTCTGGTGCCAGGTCTCAATTAGGTCAACATTGGTTCATGTCTATGTGAGCCTTGTATTTGAAATTGCCCTGCAAGGCAGACGTCTCCCATGTTGCACCCTTGGAATTCGAAACTGGATTGGGATCGCAGGGTGAATATCGAAGTATCCCTGGAACACGTCTAATTGTATTGGCTGTTTCACCACACCCTTCTCTCCCTTGGCTGCACCATTGTGCCCTGTTATTCCTAGTTTGCTTCCAGTCACTATCACTCTCAAGTTGATAGGCAAACCAACCCTTTTGAATAGCCTTGGGTCAATGGGGCTGATAGTGCCGGCGCCAGCGCCCGTTTCTTTACCTCGAGCTATTGAAGGCGTGAGTTCAAGGGGTTTGGTGTTGGCGACGCGACGTTGGCGCGTAATTGTTGGCGATTCATTGGCCATCAACATGTTTTCTGTTGGCTGCTGCGCCACGCTGCCCCCCTCCTTGCAACCCAAACATACATACGAACTCCCTTACACCGGTTTTGCAACTCCATTGTTCGAACCGCATGATGTATTGAGTTGCCTTGCAAGGTTTTCAAGATTACCGTGGGCGATTAAGAGGTGTGTGTAGTTAGGGGTTTGTTTCTCGCAAGGGTTCAGCCATATCTGCCCCTGAATACATTGCTTTTTTTTCGTGATGACCTCACATATGATACCTACCCGTATCTGCAAAGTGTTTACAGTAATTATCAGCGACCCCTGGATGGAACCTTACCCATTTCCACCGCCACAAGTCACGGACGGCATCCTACTCGTCCAGATCTTCGGAGAAGCACTTTCCCTCCCGTTCAATGGACACCTGCAGAGAGGCAATGATGGCAGCCTGTAGGGCTACCAATGTCCATGTTTCTATTGCACTTTTCAGCTTGACCAAAGCAAGCTTCTCGAGTGATCAGGATTTTCCATTCTGCATATCTGAGCTCGTAACTTGTAGTACTCTGTACGACTCCAACGGCTCTCGACCAGCGGCTCCCAACTTGGGGATCGTGTACGACGGCACACTTGTAAGCGGCTGTCCTTGGATATTTGTAAATGGCTCAACAAGGAGAGTGAGAAGCAGTATCCGAAATAGGCATACTTCGATATTATTCAACCTCTGACAGCGAATGTTGATGTGATTGGCCACCCAAGTTTTCCCCGGGGAAAGCTCGTCGAGTTCGGTCAGACCTTGTCATACAAGAAGATCTCAGGCCGAGGTTGCACGACTTCACGACAATTCTCGTGATTCATCGGGGATTCAGGATATTCGTTTTCGCGCTAAAGAGTATCCCGACGCAGACACTCCTCGGGCCGTTAAAAAGAGAGATAGATCTCAGCCTGCCGTTCTTTGGGGCTTGCCTGAAACCCAAGACGAAAACAAACCCGGTATCCCAAGGATCAACAACGCCACGCGGGAGAGAGAAACCTTCGCAACGAATTACCTACATCACCGAGATGCCTCAAAAACGCCTTACAATAGTTCCACTGATCCCTCGGTCGAAACGATGAAGTTCCGTCGGCGCTGATTTCAACACGTCGCCGCGCATCATGTTTCTGAGTTCATTTGCTGCCCTACGGGACGCCTACTTTCAACCCTAAACATTAGTGTCTACGATTTTGAGGCCTTCCTTCTATGCGTTCGACATCAAATGTCGGCATGTAACAATCGTGGCAATCGGCTATTCGGAGGATGTCAGGTGGGCATTGAAGGGTGAGCCCATCTCTCTGGCCCAATATCAATTCTAGACATGATTAAATCAGGGCGAAAAGTTGAAGCAGGGCTTACGCCCAATTCATAGGTCAGCTAGATCAGTTTGGCGCGCCAGACATCCAATCTTTTGCTCAGGCGAAGATGCGGCTGCGCACGTGAGCTCTAGGCCGGCGGGGTATCAACCTTCCACGTTTCTTCTTGTTGTGATGACTGCGTACCGCTCACCACCTTTATTGAGTGATATTGTTGATCTTCTCACCACCATTCGGTAGTAATGCATGAAAAACATCACGGACAGTCCATGCCGATTCGGCCATACGAAAGCATGATTGCCCAATGAAACATAGGCCACATAATATGTAGGCTTCAGATGGCACAGCTCAGCCCCCATAAGCCACGCGAATATTGAATATCATTAGAGAGTATCTTGGAGTGCTGACGCGTGACGAGAATCAACCAGGGTTATTTGATGCAGAGGGCCCAATGGTTGAATACGGCAGGCATTGGGCATTAAAGCCTCTGGCTATTGGTTGGTGGATGGTCTCTTTCAATGGCCCTCACTACTCAGGCTTCTAGGTAGGTTTTCATGGTCATCGACGGAACCCACCTACATTGCTGTCATATCGCACTCTGAATGTACGTTTGAAATTAACGCGTGCACGGGAGATCCCGCCTTAACCCTGGAGCATTGGCTAAGGATTATTCTTCAACGGGTCTGCCGTGCCTCTCGGCGCGCCAGTCCGCCTCACCCGGTCCCCGCCGGACCGGGATGGCCCTAGCTCTATTCCGGACATCCAGTGGTCCTCCCCCGAGCTGGCCAGGGCACTGGTGTCGGCACTTGGGTAGCCTTAATCGGGGATGAGAGGTGACGAGTTCCATTGCACCGCCAACCGATAAGTCACCACAGTGCTACAGAAGCCAATTGAATAAGTAAAAAGAAGAAAGGAGAGATTCAGGCGAGATAAGGCAAATAATTCATGGGCCTTGGCTTTTGTACTTGGGATCTTCAGAACTTTGAGATGGCTACAGCCTACATGTAGCTTTTGCATACCTTCGGTGAAGATTAGAAAGTCAGAATCAGGTCATCAATGGCAGGGGTTTCTAGGCAGCCGAATTTACTACTCTGGCATTGGACAGGAGTCCAAGTGGCGAACCTCCGATTTGTCTCGAGAACATTGCGTCTCGGTTCGGAGGATGTGGAGGGCTGCCGTCCTCCAGGAGAAGGATGAGGATTCGCAAGGCATCTAGTATGCCTCTTATTGTCTCACACATCGACCATGGGCATGTTGGCCAAGACATGACGTTTCAGATAGCGTATCGACTGTTCTTGACCCAGGACTTGGTTGCTAAGTTGATAGTAACCTGGCGGTCCACAGCATAAAGTGCTCTGATGCGAACATGAGGGGCATCCTCGGCGTGATACAGCAGTCAACATGCAAATTTGCATACATTCGCGTGGGAAATGAAACTAACACTCTTGTCTGACTTAGACCTCAGGTTACATGACTGCACATTGTTACTCAACCTGGTACGATCTTATAAACGCTCGATTACACGGCATGCCAGCTTGTTGAACGCGAAATCTTGACCGAACAACGTTCCGTAGTACACGAAGGGGCTCACAAGGCCGTACTGGCGTGATCTTAGATTGAAGACCCCTCCAAGTATAAAAACTTGAGCTTTGTGAGACCAATTGCTTCAGTTCCTCCAATCGAGGAGTCAAGACACTACGAGCTGCTTTGCGAATCGTGCGAAATGAGACTCACATCGAGGTGAAGCATGTGAGACCATTTGTAAGGACGAAATTGTACCCTGCACTTCATGAGCAGGTGACCAGGCCGCAGGCGTTCATACATATCCATTGACTTCACGTTGTGATCTCAGGCGTTTATGAATTCACCCGCATTCTTGCAATGAGCGGTGTTACTCTATTCTTCCGTTCAGCATGGCGGTGAGTCATGAGTCACTCAATGTGACGTAAAAGCCCGACCTAGTAATAACGGCACAGTCTTAAGATGCGATCGATTAGCGCGCTTGACCAGTTAATCATGTGCTCTGTCATTCGTTGACTGAACCGGGCCATCACTAAGAGGATAGCCCAAGATTATCGGCTAGCTCCTCCCTTAGAATGCTGTGCTTGGAAGCGGTGAAGATACATCTGAGAAATCAAGGATATCTCGCCAGCCACCGCATTTCTCTGCCTAACTTGTCCAGCTCTTCGTCAACCATGGCAAGGGCCCTTGTCTTGAAGTGGCCCGTGTCCAACTGTGACGTTGTGAGTTGAATAAGGTAGGTAGTCAGTGAAAATATTGAACTTCAGTGAAATTCGAATTCAATACAAATACCATAACTATTCACTCGGGAAAATAACAAGTTACCATCCTTGAGGGGAAATGCAATTAGACAAATGTGCCAGTTGGGATGAAGTATTTCACTTATCTAAACCCACCACATTCGATGACATTAATTCTTGTCATTGACAAGGGTCGTGACTGCACTGCCAACAAAGAAACCGCATACTTGGGGCGTTGGATCGAGAGATGTGTCGAGGGCACGTAGAGCATATGTCCACATAACATCGTCAGCTTTTCTCCACTATACAAGGCAACCACATGGGCACTAATGCGCCAGGCCACATTAGATGACCAAAATCCCCTCAAGTTTCTCCCCAAGGCACTCACCGATGAGGATCTAGCTTCATGAGGTTCAGTCTTGGTGTGTTCTATTGGAAAAGGTCACAAGGCCAACGCCCGCCGGACTCAAAATCTTGAGAAACGTCCAATCATGGGTATCACTGCATGTCGCTGAAAGGCCATATGCAATAGCAAACAACACTTGAGGTGCTTGAATGAGTATTGAAGTGTTTGAATCAAGGCACTTGCATTTAGTGATTTGGAGAATTCCAAAACAGCCTGCTCAATGGCGTGGGTGGTTGGGCGTCCCCGGCGTCGACCCTCATCACATCCATCCTAATTCCGCCTCACCTGAAAAAAAGGCTACACCGTTAGTCTGCCTGGTATCAACAAGCGCATGTTGCCTCGGGCGTGGTGTCTATCTTACGAGAGAAAATAGCGCACCCAGGTGCTTTCGTAGACGCCAGGCGCGATTGTATCGTGTGATGTTGCCCTATTGCATTTCCTGCCCGAGCAGTGAAGGCAATGCTCTACACTTACAATGAAGCCTTGTGTAGAA